CAGTATGGAAAATTCAGCCGAATGAAAGATGGGAAAAAGATAATGCGAAAATTAAAGAATGATGAACGAAAACGGAAGACGCTCTGTTGGTGGAGAGCGTGTGGCAAACGATATTTGCAAAGCGAAAACCCACTCGGTTTGAAAATCATTGCTACTGATTTTCCACAACAAAATAGTACCTCACAAATCGAAGGCACAATGAGGAAGTGTCAAACCATTCCAGGTACCCAAGCTTCCACCAATAAATTCTGATTTGTGTGCGCATGCGCATAAATGGCATGTAGAGGCAAAAAGCTTTAGCGGCCCATTGCAAATATACAAGAAGGGCATAAATTTCAACGTCAGTTTCTCTTAGCTACAGCACTTTTTTCACTTTCATTTTCGGAAAACCCTCTAAAATCGTTATACATATAGCTATTACTTTCCGGTGTGAGAGGAATTTCTGAGAGCAAAATGAAAACTTGAAAAATTTTGCTCGTTTGAAGCGCACAAGGGCGGACGAAATCAGAAGAGTTCCTTTCTCTGGGAGTTAGGAAACAAATTGTGAGAAGCGTTGGATCACCATCCACCATTCTCGGTCGTCGATGTACGTGACGAAAGAAACCTGAACAAGTCTGAAGCTCTAGCCCGCAATTCACCTTGCGTGCAGCCCGCAATTCAGCTTATTACGAGTGGTGCATACCCAGGAGTACATATTAACTATAATTGGACAATTGTGTGAGGATCATTCTAATGGACCCTTTCATGTTTCCATAATGTATAATAAATTCCACTTTGTGAGAGGTTTAGATCCAAAATGTGGAGCGTTAGAGTTTTACTTTATCATAACTTTGTCCTATAGTGTTTTTTAATTCGTGCTATTGTATGGGTTTCAATGACCGGTTACAGTACTATTATAAGATGGGTGAATAGGTCACACTGTATAAATAGATAATGCAGATGATAACGTACAAGTAAGCACTACAGCATCGTGCTTTTAATATTGTGACAAAATGCTTCTTCACAGTGCGGTGTTGAAATGGACGATGGACAAAGGTTTCCAGATATTTGAAAAACAATCAAACGGTGCTTGAAAATATGAAGATTTCGTCGCCTCAACTCTAATCCTTATCGAAAAAACCTCAGAGGAAGTAACTAATTTCATGCGAAGCGTTTTGGTTTTTGCTCATAGAGCGCTCAAACAAATGTACTTTTGCGTTTAGCTGAAGTGGGTTCTGATTCACCAGCATGAAACTTAAGCTTCTGAAAAGACTTGAAATCAAGTCGGAAATTGACTGGGTGTAGTCTACTTTCCTCACGATGCGTACGCGGTGCGGTTTGTCGTTCAGTTTAATTAACAACTCGCGGGGACAGTAAAAAGTGCAACCTCGCTCCCCAATATGCCTGTCCGACGGTGCCCAGTTACTGACTAGAACAATTTGCAAGCCCTTTTGTGCAAAACATATAGGGCTCGTAAACTCCCATTCCTAGTACAGACAACTCCGTCGAGCCAATTCCAAATGCCAAAGGTTCTTCGGGCAACCCAAGATCCACAAGGCGGACACTCTATTACGCCCATCGTCACTTCAAGGGGGTCCAACTTAGAACACAGCTAGACATCTTGCCAAGATACTGCACCCCCTGGTTGGCAACACCGAACACCACATCAAGAAGTCAGACCAGTTCACCAGCTTCATTCAAGGCCTCACGCTCCAGCCAGACGACAGCATGGTCAGTTTTGACGTCGTCTCCCTCTTCACAAACGTCGTCCTCTTCCGAGGCCGCCACCATCACCAAGACATACTTCAGGCAGACCCCACCCTCAAGGGCCGCACCGATCTTATTCCAGAACAATTTCAAGACCTGCTGCCCAACTGTGTCAACTCATCAAGCCTCCGACGGAGTGATAGATTCTATGAATAAACAGCCGGAACCTCTATTGGATCCCCTATATCCCTGGTTTTGGCTGACGTACCGGTATTCTTCATGGAAGAATTTGAACAGCTCGCTATCAACACTGCAGATCACAGACCCAAGATTGGCTCTGGTACGTAGACGACACCTTCGTCATCTGGAAGCATGGGCAACATATCCTCCAGCTCTTCCTAGAACACCTCAATGGTTCAAAGCAACATCCAGTTCACAATGGAACAGGGAAAAGATGGTAACATCCCTTTTCTTGATGTTGAGGTATTGAGAAAGCGGGACAGCAGTCTCACCCGCTGAGTATAGTGGAAACCCACACACACACTGACATATACTCCCACGGCGCGTCCTTCCATCACCCCAAGACCAAGTCTTCAGTCAACCGGGCCCTTGTACGTAGGGCATGCAGCATGTGCGACAAGGAACACCTCACCCAAGAACTCCTTCACTTCTCCACGGCACTACAGCGGAATGCAAGATCCACCCCCGGCCGAAGGGTCTCCCGTACCCAAGCCAATGGTTAAGGCCTCTAGTTCCATTACCCTCCCCTACAGTACCTCCCAGTACATCCAGCACGTCCTTCACAAGCATGGCATTCGAATATTCCATACAACACCCCGAAAATGCAGAGCCTGCTGACTTTCTACATGGCCGGCACAACCCACTGCACAAGCTTGTGGTGTACAAGATCCCCTGCAAATGTGGCACAGTGTACATCGGCGAGACCGGCAGGGACCTCCCCACCAGACTCAACGAACACAAAGCCCATGGCAGGAAAGGGGAATACACAAGTCTGCCATTTCAAGCAAACCCACATCGAAGACCACAAGATCGACTGGAGCAAAGCCGAACTCTTTACCAGCATCAAGCACTGGCACTCACGTCGCTCCAGAGAAGCCATCGGGATCATCAACAACAGCACAGTATCACAAGACATCGGTTTCCACATCAGCGACATCTGGCGTCCCATCCTCACATCTCAGTCCAATGGGTCCCCTGTACCCCAGGACATTTCCAGCTTATGGGTCTCCTGTACCCTTGGCTACCGTCCCCCACGCTCCCCTCCATCAGACTCGTCACACCTCAACGCCCCAAGCCACTGGTTGGACTCAGAGTTAGCATCCTGTCCACAACTCACCGCCCTCACACCACGTAAGCTGCCTCATCACTGGACCCTCTGCAGTCTCCTGACGACGGACAGAGCATACTGTCCGAAACATTGAGGATTGCCGGTTCTTTTCGAAACCCCACATACTCACGAAAGAGATACTGTATATCCGTTTAGATATCCATCTAGTTTACTCGCTACCTCTACCATAAAAAGCTTTAAGTCTCATATGGGGCTTACTACCAACACTGGATAGAGCACTCTGATTGGCTAAGAATCCCAATTATATGAGTATTTTTTAAGGACAGTTTGATTCGTCAGTGGAACGTTTATTAGTAAAAAAAAAACGGTTTCATTTATGGAAGAGGGTATTTACATTATTCTGAAAAGATGATCGACTTACCATAAAACGTTAAGTTGTTTTACCAAAAAAGATTGTTAGTAGATTTATCTTGAAATATATATGTAAAGCGTGTCTTTAAGCATCGTATTGAAATGGGGGTACTAATGTAAAATGTGAAAGAAAGTCGCATTAATTAAATATAGACATCCCTATGCATAAAATGGATGAGTCTGTTATGTAGAGTGAGGCTGCATCCGAATCTCTTGTCTAGAGCTAGGTCTAGGTCTTCGCTCCATTGAAAATGCGTGGAGACACGTAGACAATAGACCCAGCCATAGCTCTGGAAGCCCGTTTTGGACACGGCCTGAGTTCCAGTGAAATATATGGATAAGCAGTACAATTGTTGCATGTATGAATATCCTCCAAGAACCAGGTTGATCAAGACGTTAGGCGGGCACGATTGGCTCGCGGGCTGGCCGACGTGCGTCGAAGCCCGGTACTGACAGAAAATGACCACGCGTCGTACATTTTTACCGTATGGGCCGAATCAGCGTAACACGCTGGATGGATCTCAGGAAACGGTGGACGGGATAAGCACTGACTGCTGGCTCATGGACGACAAACACAGCCAACTAAGGACTTGATTTCAAGTCTAGCTTCTGACAGGCGGCATTGCGCCTCTTTGCAGCTAGCCTTAATTTAAAATGTGATTGGCATTGTTATCTATGACCTTTGTATTCGTCCAACATAAAGTGTGCTTCTTCTTGGTGAATCTTGCTGATTCGTTTTTAGTCCCTTTCGTTGGACGTGCGAGATTGACTCTTTCCGGTCCAGCTTGTTGCGTTGTACTGCTTGTTACAAGACTTTGTAATTCGCATCATTATTTTTGAATTGGCGAAGCCCCTGGGGATTTGCGTGACAACAGTACATGCGGTTGAAATAGCTGGATCCAGTCTAATTAAAGACAGCCACTTGTTGTTTTGTGAAAATAGAGGACTAATGCGGTTAAGGTTTTAAAATTTGAAAGTAAGAGTAGGGAAGCAAATCAGACCGGATAGGTCTGATTTTAACTGAATGGGGTTTTTAAGAAAGCAAAAAAATAAAAAATCTTACGCAATCGAGAAGGAAGAAAATGTACCAGTGTTTCAGATAAACCTAATATAATTTGTAAAAAGACAGTATAGGAACATTACTTCAGTTGGTATTTTTTTTCCAGACTTGGAAATGTAACTAGTTGACAAACATTGGATCCTGTTATTGGCAAGATGCCCCAGTCTAAGCGGAAGGCACCACTTGATTCTCATGGCTCCAAGCCTAAGATGCGTCGAGTTACTCAACATCATGCCAGCAAGGAACAAGCAGACAGGGTGTACAGTCAGGAAGATCAGGAATATGGTAAGTCATCTGAATGTTAAAACCCTAAAACCCAAGAATGCTTTAATATCTGTTGGAAGATTCGAAAAGGACAATTAGGCAGTGTTGGAACGTGTTACTTGTGCTAACACGAGAATACTCCTTAGCGCAATATCGATAGTAGGGGTAAACCTATGGTAAGCAAGATTTACATTCGATCAGGCCAGAAGTATAGTTTTGCATCACATAGAAATTTGAAGAAGATATGAAAAAGGATTATTATGACTTGCGTACATGAAGAAAAGCTTTCTTGCAATGTTACCACTTCCTTTGAAACAGTGAATGGGAGAAACTTCAATTGACATTTTGATTTTCATGCTAATGAAAACTTCCAAATTAAAACGTGGTAGCTCTCCATACAAAATGCGTGTTACACTTACATTTTCTTGTTCGTTCTTCTGTAGCGACTAACTGCATAATTTTTGTGCTGTATGATTCTAGCATCAGATATCGTTAAAACTTCACTTTTTCCTCGAGTCTCGTGTTTGTGTTGTACTATAGACTTAAGTCATCATGTCTTGTTGACAAATCCTGTTTGCCTGTCTGCATAGTTATACTCTGCTCCGTTTATGTTCGTGAATTTCAATGTGGGATCGTACCTCAGCATACTACACGTATTAAACACATGTACTGACGGCAGTCCCTGCTCAACATGGGCATGAGCCCATTGTCGCTTCTTCGACCCCCGTATCTCCCCATGTGGGTGCCGATGAGAGACTGGCGGAATAAGAACAATTCGCCGAGGTAAGCTTGGGGGAATCAGGCAGCGAGTGAGGCAATGAGGACACCCCCGCCACTACCGACCATTACCCTCAGCAACGTACGATCACTAAGCCAAAAATTGGATGAACTAAGAGGCGATTGCTAAAAACGATCATGAGTACCGGAATTCCAGTCAGTTGTGTATTACAGAAACTTGGTTTCAACCAGACATTTTTGCAAATACTTTGGAAATCGTTGGGGGGTCCTCCTTATGAGACTAGATCGTTCTCTGGATACAACAAATAGAAAGACAGGAGGTGGACTGTGCCTCTGTATTAACAAAAAGTGGTGCAAGAATTTTACAAGAAGACTAATTTGTTCCAAAGATATTGAACTTATGTCTGTCTCATTTCGCCCATTCTACCTGCCCAGAGAATTTTCCCAGACTCGGATAAAGATATTGCTGTACGGATCATCCAAGATTAGGTGAATGAAGTGGGAGTGCGATCGCCAGATGCCCCATAATCATACTCAATGATTTCAACAATTGTACTTGGACAGAGTTTTACACTTCATTTCCATCAGTAAGCGTTGATTCCGCCAAGAGAGGAAATAACATTTTTGACAAGTTGTATTGTTCACCACACCACTCACTTCCTCCCTAAGTATACACGGTGTCCGAGTAAAAAACCAAACCCTGAGGAAAGGGGTTGATATGCCCAAACCATGAGATATGATTATAATGTATATGGATCTCCGAAAAGTAAAAGTAGTATTCTTTCAAATGATACCTTGATGGTATCCCTCCTGTTATGCATGACTGAAGACCCTTCTTCGTGTCCGACACCTTCCGTGTGTCCACCTTCCCTTTCAATGCAGAGTTCACAACGGCGGCGCATGTCAGCCACAGCTCGTCTCACCAATGCAGGGTCATGTAGTAAGCTGTCGACCTCCTGTTGAATGCGACCTCGTAAGTCTTGAATGCTACGTGGTGGACTGGTGAAAACTTTGTCTTTCAGATACCCCCATAAAAAACCACACGGCGTGAGATCCGGAGAACGGGGCGGCCATTCAATTTGATGGTTAAGAGCAATTACTCGATCTCGGTGCATAATTAACTGTGATTTACGTATTGTGTAAATAATCGGTGTGCCCCTGATATCTTATCCAGGACAAGCATGACAGAGGACAATTCACTGGTTTATCCAAAGTGGTACAACTGAGTTTGGATGCCCCATTTTCAAGACAACGGTGTTCAGTCATGCATTACAGGAGGGATACCATCAAGGTATCATTAGAAAGAATGCTGCTTCTACTTTTCGGAGATCCTTATACATTGTAATCATATCTCATAGTTTGGCAATATTAACCCCTTTCCTCAGGGTTTGTTTTTTTTTCTGGGACACCCTGTAGGCAAAAGATTAAGTCTGGAAAACCACAAAAGAAAACTTTTAAAGAATGGAACAATGAATCGTGTGAAAACGTTACAAACGGCATTTGATATTAATGACTTGAATGGTTTCCGAGAAATTTGCGATAACTTACAAGAACAGACACGATAACGGTTATATTTCCTTTTGTCAGGATTTGCACATTCAGTCTATGGAAATTACCATATATACCAATAATAAACCTTGGTTTAACAGACAAATAAAATCAGTTATGAGAAAAAGAAATACCAATTTAATGACGGAAACGTGGATCGAGTTAAAGAATTAACCAAATATCTAAAAGGAAAAGTCTCTGAAGCGAAACGGTGTTGAACGGTGTTTTCAAACAAACAATCAAAGGGATGCATGGAAATGCCTACGAGAAATAACTGGCTACTCCCTCAAAAACAACTCTTAAAGACACTCTTAAAGATGTTGGAAACCCTAAAGAAAAGGCAAACGAACTAAACTCTTTCTTCAGTCGCTTTCAGAATCAGGGCTATAGGGAAAGACTTGCTGATCAGGTTGCAGGACTCCGTGAGGCAGACAATGGCAAACCATTCACCGTAGCAGAGGCAGACGTTCGCGAGCAGTTTATTAAAATATTAACTCTAGGAAATCGTCAGGACATGCGCGTCCCAACACGGACGTATATAAAAAAATCAGGACTCGCATGCCCTTAATCAGCTTATAGAGATTATTGAATCCACTAGCGGCCATTTTACCGAGCCGAATACAAAGCTTGCCCGGCAATGCCCGCCTTTGTTCTCCCTGGCGTCAATAGAAGCGAGCCAACCCGCGCATTTGTATTCGGCTTGGTAAAATGGCCGCCTGTTGGCTTCTTTTTCACACAAAGGCGTTGCAAGTCCAGGTTTTTTTTTCATATACGTCCGTGGTTCCAGCTGGCCATCCCTTACACTAGGGTATTCCAAATGTCAATAGCACAAATAGTTGTACCAGAACAGATGGAAAGTGTTCATTGTTTCGCCTTGCTCAAGAGTTCTCGTCCCACAACAATGATTTTCGTCCCACAGCGTTGATGTCAGGGCAATGAAATATTTACCCTACAGGGCCCATGCGGACCTCCTTGGACCAACTGTTTACTATTTTAAATTGTGTTTTACTATGTCAGTCAGATTACACATGATGAGAAATGGAAGAATTTAATGGCCCTTTAAAAAGACTGGTGCTCTCACGGCTTACAGGTCTAGTTCGTCCCTTCATAGATGAAAACCAGTTTGCCTACCAAGCCCAACGGTCTGTCACCCGCGGTTCTCATGCTGACCAATATGCTATATGAACACCTGGATGAGCCTCTCGGTGTTACGCCCAGGCATTTATTTTCCTCGGCGTTCAATACAATTGAGCCCAATAAGCCTCTTCAGAAACTACGCGACTTGGCTGTCCTGTCATCCATTGTGTTATAGATTCACGAAAATGCTTCCCCAACGGACACAGAAGGTGAAGGTTAACCTTTAACACCTTTTCCATGAAATCACGACTGGCACCAGGAGTTGACAAGGCTGCGTTCTATCTGCCTCTCTTTTTATACTTGTATACTAATGACTGCATCAGCAATGTCCCGTCTGTCCGCTTATTGAAATATGCAGATGAAGACGCTGCCATCGTGGGGTTGTTTGAAAATGGAGATAAAAATGACTAATGATTATCAATTCATTTGAGTACTGGTATAAAGAACACTATCTAGAAACCAAGGAAATAGTGTTTAATTTCAGACAAAAGAAAAGTTTCGATCCTACTGCCAGGCCGTTGTACGTTGCTAATGCTCCTATTGAAAATGTGAATCACTTTATATATCCAGGGAGAGAAACTGAATATAAAATTGTCATGGCAAAAAAACAATGAGATCCACATCTACAAAATACAACCAAAAGATGTACTTCCTTAGAAAAGTGAAACATTATCATGTAAATGAAAGAATCATGTGTCTGCTCTATTCATCAATCATTCAAAGCACTATTATTTGAGTTTGTGTGATATGGTATAACAACTCTAGACAAGAAGATCAACAAAAGCTTAGACGGGGTTGTAAAGCAAACTAGTCAGATACAATATCAAACCACAATATTGATTAAGATGAAGAACGTACGTGTACAGACTGGGTACTTGTAAAAGCTCAATCTGTCATAGATGACGTGTTTCATCATCTGAATCACTATATTAAACGGAAGCGGAAGACGATGGAAACCAATTAAAGCTGGGACATCTCGATATGCAAACTTCTTCGTACCATTTTCTATTAGACAAATGAAAGAGAACTAACTCAAGATCTCTCAGTTCTACATTAAACGAACGAGAATAATAGCCGTGGATAAGATATTAAGCTGTATCTATTATTAATTCATTATTGTCAACGTATGCCTGTATGCTGTGTTAATATGTACTTTATTTAAAGAGCAGAAATCTATATCAGCAAGGCAAATTTCCTGAAGGACAAATAAGTAAATTTGAATTTGTTACTGTTGATCGTGTTGAGTAAGCGGCCTTTTTAGGCTATAGAAATGGCAATTTGTTAATTTCTTCAAAACTTTGTTGGTAGGTAATTTTTAACAACAACCGTCTTGTGTTTTTTTCTTATGCTCTTTCGAAGAATGTCTTGTGCGATAATATCGTCCTATAAAAAGTATGAATGAAAGGTTTTTGTAAGAATGGAAAGAACCCCCACCGTCTTGTCACTTCAATAAAAAGTATTTAAATCTCGTTTTTATGTTTGTAACACGTAGTTATTGTATGAAAACAAGTTGACCGAAATTTTTACTGCATTGTTTCGCTCAAGTGTAACACATTTCAACCTGAGCAATTTCGCTGTGAACGTTTTTGTGACGAAATTTACTTTGATTACATTCTCTGAAATATGAATCGGCCTTATACGCATGCGGCATTTTTCAGCACAAAGGCAGCACTTTTTCAACGGTAGGCCTATCTCCAGAACTCAGTATCTGACCATATTCTTTTTGTTCAATTAAAAGAAAAACTTCAGAACAAAGGTAGGTATTTCATATGTTGACGAAACTCCATTGGCGCATTTTTTCAGGTCAAACTGACGAGTTAAAGGTTACCTGCCATAGTAAGGAATTAGACTTGTGACAGACAGCATAATGTAGTTTAGTTTGATAATGATGTCTCATTCTTTTATTTTACAGAGGATGACGATTTTGGGCAGACTTTGCCGCCCTTACATATATACATAAAAAGAGTTCTTGACAAATACCCTGAAGGTGGTCAGATATTAAAGGTAGGGTCGCCTAGCTCTTGAATTTTACATAGCTATCCCTTTTTAAAGATTATTAAAGATAATAAAGATCATAATAACTGAAGATAAAGATTATAGGATTATTTAACATCCCTTATTTAAGTCACACTGAAAATTATGCACAATGCGAAAATGAAGAGAAACGTATTCTATTCCTCGAGGAAAAATTTATGTATAAAATGTGCTCTACATGTCGATTTATATGACACCTGTATGTGTGAATTAGGCATTTCACTTAAATATTTTATTAGGAACTGGTGCAGAATGCTGACGATGCAGAGGCAAAGACGGTAGTTTTTCTTTACGATAAATCACAACATCCTGATCGCCAACTGTGGTCTGACACGTTGCGGGACTTCCAAGGACCAGCCCTCTATGCCTACAACGACGCAACGTTTCGGAAGGAAGACTGGAAGAACATCCAGCACCCCGAGCAGAGTGGCAAGCTGGAAGACCTAACGAAGGTGGGCAGGTTCGGTCTGGGCTTCATCTCCGTTTATCATCTCACAGGTGAGTTATACGCAATCTAAAAACTTTATACTGGGAATAATTTCTACCAAGTGGAATTTTTTTATCCTATTAAAGCAAGCTGCACTCTGGTTTTGTTTCTTTTTTCATAGATATGCCTTCCGTTGTCAGTGGAAACCAAATCGGCTTTTTAGACCCACTAGAAAAGCATTTTACCCACGATCCTCACACCAACACAAGATACAAGGGAAGACGAGGTAAGAAGTGGAGAATGTCAGCTGACCTATTGGCTAAATTTCCAGACCAGTTTTTGCCCTACTTGATCGACTTGTTCCACTTTAGTAAAAGAGATTTTCGCGATGGGAAATTAGACGGTACCATTTTTCGGTTTCCATTGCGTACAAGCCCATCATTAATAAGCAAGTCAGTCTTTGGGGATCAGGATCGAGTGAAGGAACTGTTGGTGTCATTTCAAGCAGATGCAGAAGTCTCTCTGTTGTTTCTTAAGCACGTGGAGTCCATTTCTGTCTATGAAAGAGATCACTACCATGACCGCCCTAAACTTACCTACAGGGTGCAGATCAGTCAAAAAGATCGTCAACAAGTTCAGTCGAGCAGGGCAACATTTCTTGGTCAGATTTTGTCAAAACACAATATCCAAACAGAGAGTTTTGTGCGAATAGAAAAGCAAGTTGGCAAACAGACTGTTGAGAATACCAGTGCATACATCACCGTTAACATCTTAAAGAACAGAAGTACATCTAGACGTATGCAGGAACTAATCAGAGATGAGGACTTAAAGTTGCTACCTTGGATGGGAATGTCCTTCCAGATCAGTGCAGCAGGATTAGCTGCAGAGCAGCAAACTGGCCGTGTATTCTGCTTCCTGCCATTACCAGAAAGCGAAACTACTGGTTTACCAGTACACATACATGGCTACTTTGGTCTGGGAGACAACCGCCGCAGTATCAAGTGGCCAGATCGGGAGTCTCAGCATGACAACAAGGCTCTGTGGAACAAGCTTCTCTTGGAGGAAGTTTTTCCCGAGCTCTATGCAAAGGTGGTCTTGGCTGCTGTCCGTAGGAGTAAAGATTGCGAAAATCCCATCAAGCCATTAGATGTGTACAGAGGATGGCCTTCTATTGGACGTGTTAATGGAGCATGGTTAGCTGGGGTCAAGAAATTCCTCCAGTTAATGGCAAATGAAGACGTTTTTTACTCGGACTACAATGGTGGCTCCTGGATGAAACCAAGTGATAAAATCTATGTTGATCCTGAGGAAAGTGCCTTGATTTCAAAGGTGCTGAAATTCAAAGGCTGCCCAGTTGCACAGCCTCCAAAGCACATCTTAGAATCTCTTGATTGGGCAGGTGTGTGTTACAAGAAGGTAACGCCTGCAATCGTAAGAAATATGATTAGAGGGGATTCACTGCAGTTCCTGTTACGTGACGAGAAGATGCAGCTTCTTAAATACGTGTCTAGTGAAGACATTTCAGATCTGTACGACTTGTCTCTTCTTCCGCTGCAAACTGGCGAATTCATTTCGTTTCGTCACGATGCGAAGAAAGTATACATAGCGACAAGTGAGAATCCAAGTTCTCTCATTCCAAATGGAGGATCAAGATTTGCTGCCAGTGATCTGCCATCAGGACTGATGAAATCCAGTGTGGAGAAATGCACTCAACTGAAGTACCTCAGCGTTTATGATGTTGCTCCGTTGCTCAGAGAGACTCTTCCAATCACTTGGAGAGAAGGATCAGACACTACCTTACCTTGGACACCAGGGAAAAACCAACAACCGAAGGAAGAGTGGTTGATGGAGTTATGGAAGTGGATGGCTAAAACATTCATAGAGTCAGACCTTGAACTCTTTAAAGGCATCCCTCTCATCCCAATATCAAACAATCAACTGGCAAGACTGCAGGAGGGTACGCTGATATGCAGGGAACAGAGGGGAAGCTCCTATGGTGATTTGTCAATACGCTTGTCAGATAACATCTGTTCGTTTCTAGAGTCTGTTGGGGCAGTTGTTTTAAAGCAAAATATTCCAACATACATATCTCGCCATCCTGAAGTATGCAGATTTGTCAGCTCCCCAACAGCTACAGGTGTAATTACGGTTCTAAACAAACTCAGCCGTAAAATATACTTTTCGAGATGCATTGCAAGGTTGGCTTCGAGTACAAAAGATGAACTACGTACTCTATTCGCACAACTTCACCAATTGACAACTCAACAGAGAAACTTCCTCAGAGAGCTCCCAATTTTCCTAACCAGTAATGGCCAATACATCTCAGTAAGCATGTGTGGAACTGCTGTACCCAAGGACTATTTTGGGTTACCTTTGAAAAAATTGAGATGTCAGTGTCTCCTTTTAAGCTCTGGTAAGTCAGACAGCCTACTTTCACGGCTTGGGGTTCACATTGAGTCACCTTACGAACTTCTGCAAAACAACGTCCTTCCTGCAGTTCAAGATAAATTCTACAATGACAGCAATTCACTGAGAATCATGACGTGGGTCTTGGAACGTCCCGAGTTTGACAGCTTGGTGACAGATCTGAAGTTCGTTCCGTCCTTGGAATGTAAAGTGAAGCCGAAGGAGTTATTTGAGCCCTCTCGAAACCTCGTAGCAATGTTTAGAGGCATGAGTGTATTTCCGACTGGCCGGTATTCCGAAGGCAGATTGTTAAACAACTTGAAACGAGTCGGACTGAAGAAAGAGGCTTGCATTACACTAGATGATATTTTGGGGTGTGCAATGGATGTTTCTCAAACTCAAGCCAGAGGCAAGGTTGATATCAAAAGAGGATCAGCCCTCTTAGAACATATCGAGCGATACCCACATGTCTTACAAGGGACGGTCACGAGAAATGGAATTTGTAAAGCACTTCACGAGTTTCTTGAAGACATGTTTTGGGTTCCATGTGAAGCTTTACCACCCGTGAACTATCCTGCCTCTGCTGGATGGAAGGGAAATTCCTACAAACTTTGCACTCCAAGACAAGTGGGTCTCATTGAGACTGCTTTGCTACAAGGCTCTGTGCTCCCTCTCGTCAAGTCAGAAGGCGCCGGGGAGGAACTGCTGAGTGTCTTTGGATGGAGTAAGAAACTTGATCCCAGCAATTACCAGCACCTCCAACGAGTCATACTTCATCTTAAACATGCTTCTACCACCTACCGGATAGTTCGGGGAGATGCATTTGTTGTTTCTCCAATGGTGTCTGAGATATACTCGTTCCTAAGTAAATCAGAAAGTGCACAGTTAAGATACCTCTTTGATAACTACTTGAAAGCTCAACCATGGGTCTGGCATGGTTCTGGTTTCACTACACCTGACAAGATAGCCTTAAGCCACGGAACACTTGGCGTTACTTTTACTCCATATCTCCGAGTTGTTCCTGAAGATTTTTTGAAGTTCAGAAAGTTTTTCACCACTATGGGGGTCAAAGAAACCTTTCAAGAGAGTGTCCTTAGTGAAGTGCTTGAAATTGTCCAGCAGAAATATCAAGCCACATCGGTCTCCAGTGAACAGGAATACAAGACAGACTTAAATCTGGTCTGTAACATCTTGAGGCATATAGTAAGCCAGGACAAAATTCACGTAGACAGATCAAAGATTTTAGTTCCATGCAGAGAATCAGGTAAACGTGGAAGACACCTACACATGGTACACTCCTCCGAATGTCTGTATGTTGACGAGGAGCGACTTGCAAAGCACGTATTTGCAGAAGGATTTCAAGATCTTGACAAGCCAATAATTCACGAACTAGTGCCCAACTGGATTGCTCATAAATTGGAATTACAACCACTGAGTCACGTGATTGCTCCCGTTGAAGCAGTGGAGTATGGATATGAGGTTTCCGGTCCACATGAGACAACGGTTAATGCCATCAAGCGTAATCTTGAGATGTACAAGGAAGGACCAGGCATCTTAAATGAGTTGATTCAGAATGCTGATGATGCTGGAGCTACTGAGGTTAAATTTCTACTTGATTGGCGTCGAAATGAGCGAACAGCTCACGACCTGTTAAGTGAAGGGATGAAAACATGTCACGGTCCAGCTTTATGGGCTTACAACAATGCCCGCTTCTCAAAAGATGATATAACAAACATCTGCAATATTGCTGCCCAGAGCAAAAAGCATCAGCTTGAAAAAGTTGGGCGGTTTGGATTGGGGTTCACATCAGTATATCACTTGACCGACGTTCCAAGTGTTGTCAGCGGCCCTTACGTGCTTATCTGTGATCCAAGAACCACCCATCTTGGTTCTCGAGTTCAGCCGAGTCAGCCCGGTATAAAGCTTGATCTGAGAAAAGAACTTCACAAACAGACACTTCGGACTTACCCAAACCAGTTCCATCCATACGATGGCATATTTGGCTGTAACCTGTTGGACAGAGCAAACTTTGCCCACACACTTATCAGGTTACCACTGCGGACAGATGTGGAAATTGATGTCCAACTGCAGAATCAGATTTCTGATTCTGTCTTTGATTCAAAAAAGAGTTTGAAACCCCTGCTAGATTCGTTGGAGAAATCGGCTTCCACTCTGCTTCTCTTTACTCAAAACGTAGTTCATGTTAGTGTGCATGAACTTCAGTCTGAAAATGTGAATGATATGAAAACTTTGATGTCCATCACTGTTTCAGCGATTCATCAGTTGCCGAGGTCGATTTCAAGTGCAGGAGACTTTGCAAAACAACGTGGGATCCTGAAAGCCACAGCAGCATATATGAAAGACCGCGACTTTAGCCTGCCAGTTCCAGAAACAACTATGATCGTTAAGGTGACTTTGGAAACTGGTGTGTGTGGAAAAGGCGCTAAAAAGAAGCCGAAGAAGACGACTTGTCATTTCATCGTCAGCTCCTGTATGACATCTGGAAAGTCTCAACAGCTCGCCCGCACCAAAAATGGCATTAAAGCTGGAGTTTTGCCGTGTGGTGGAGTTGCCGCAAAATTGGTCTCAGGTAAGAAGGGACTGACTCCTGAAACCACTCACGGTAAGGCATTTAGCTATCTTCCTCTTGATGTCTCAACAGGCCTCGGTTTTCATGTCAATGGCAATTTCTTACTTCAACCTAACCGACGACAGCTGTGGAGTAAACCTTCCTCTGACACTGGGGAGTTTGAGAGTCGCTGGAATATTGGTTTTATGGAGTCAGTTCTGTTAGAGGCTTTCTTTAATCTGTTGAAAGATCTTCAAGCTCTGCAGAAACAAAGCATTGTTGATGCACGGAACTTCCAGTGTTTGTGGCCCAGACGGAGTGAATCTGAGAGTGATTTTTATCCGCTGGCTGATGCCTTCTACAAGTCTTTAGGAGGGAGTAGTGATGTTGCACCAGCAGTAGTCTTCAATCAATCAAAGTGGATGTCATGTCATCAATGCATCTTCACTGAGTGGAGTCTACATGACCCAGATGACTTAAAAAGTAGCATAAAAGCATTGCTTAACAAGCACGAATACCCAAAGCGATGTGTGGAACTGGAAACTGATGTCGTAATGAGCATCAAACTAGCAGGAGCAAGCAGATGTTTCGATGGAAACACCTTCAGCATTGAGCGATTTCTTTCTGAGGTATTCTTTCCAATGTTGAAGAAGCACTCGGATGGCATCGAGTCTGACCACAGAGATAGAATTGTTGCTCACGTGTTGGACCAGCGTCTCGGCGAAAGAAAAGTAAGAGATTATGATAAACTCCTCAGGACAACAGATTGCATTCCTACTTCCCCGAATGGTGAGTTCTTAGCAAGTCCTAAGGAGTTGGTTAATCCAACCACACAGGTTGGATCACTTTACGACGAAAGTGAATTTCGGTTTCCACATGGGAAGGTCTACCGTCAACAAGAACGTCTTCTGTCATTGTCTCAGCTAGGAATGGCTTCACATGATCTATCCTGGGAAGATATTTGTGAAAGGGCAGAAACTTTGACAAAGAGAGCGAATGTTGACCACAGGTGTAAAACTCTCCTTAAGCTAATAGATGAAAAACTAAGAAGGTGTGAGGAGCCAACGGCCGATCAGAAAAGAAGAATCCGTGAAGCTGCTTTCCTTCCTGTCATGAAGAAGCCTCTAAGATATCCAATTGGCTGGTTTCAGTGTGGAGATGAGCATGCATCAGCAGAAAGGCTCTTTGCGGCAGAACACAAGTACCTACTAGGCTCTGTTCAACGGCTTTTGGAGAGAATAGACTGGGGCCAGAGGCTATGAGCCAGAAAGTCAAAGCCCTCCTTGGGTTTACAGAAAAACGGGTTGATGTCAGTGATGTTATTGCACAGCTTGTTGCTGTGATCGAACAAGCGCATGAGATGGTCCACCATGTAACTGGTATGGTTAACAGCATATATTCATATCTTCAAAATGCAATCTGTGCACTGTCTCCGAGTGGTGTGGTTACCATCAAGCGAGGACACTCTACTGATGTTGACCAGCTTCGCTCACTGAAATTCGTCTTCTTTGATGGCAAATTCAAAGAATGCAAACAACTTGCATTTCAGTACCAGGGAACAAGTGGGCCATATTTGTATGAAGTTCCCCGCGGGCTTATTCCATTCAGCAACCTGTTGAGAACTTGCGGAGTAAGAGATCATTTTCACTTGGATGATTTCATCCAAGCGCTTCAACTACTGAAAGGTACCTACGGTAAGAAGCCTCTAAATGAATCAGACTTAAAAAGTGCGAAGTCTATGTTGTCGGAAATTGTCTCCATGATAGCAGAAAGCCATGACTTTTCTCCACCAGAAGGTAGCTTACAAAGCGGATTAATCTTTGTCCCTGACAACCGCGGGATTTTGCGGTCACCTCAAGAGCTAACTTTCAATGATATGGAATGGGATGGATACCTTCGTGGAGAGAAGTACACCCATCCAGATATATCATATCGTGACGCTAAGGTTTTGGGTATCATTACACAGAGGCAAAAGGTCATTGACACCTGCTCGTCTTTCGAGGAATTCCAGATAGATTTTGGTCAAAGTGAAGAACTGACAGATCGTCTGAAAAGTATTCTTAGGGAATATCCAAATGTCTCTGATGTGTTTAAAGAGCTTCTTCAAAATGCCGATGATGCAGGAGCAACAGAAATCCATTTTGTGTATGATCCCCGACATCATAAAGCAAAGAAGGTGGTTTGCGATTCATGGTCTGCTGTAGGGGAACTTCCATCAATTTGCGTTTATAATGACATGCCATTTACGGAAGCAGACATCAAAGGAATTCAGAAAGTAGGAGTAGGAGGAAAGAGAGATGACATTTCAACAACAGGAAAATTCGGGATTGGCTTTAACGCTGTCTATCACTTGACAGACTGCCCAAGTTTTCTGAGCAACAGTGACACCCTGTGTGTGTTTGATCCTCTCCTGATGTTCACTCCAGTAACACAAAAAACGTCACCTGGAAAGCAATTTGTTGCAGGTGTTTCATTCAGGAAGAAATTCCCTGACATGCTGAATGGATATCTGGAGGATATACCTGCCCTAAACGTAAAGGGGGGAACAGTGTTTCGATTTCCACTCAGAAAACAGCCCTCAGTTCTTTCAGAAGAGGTTTACTCAAAAGCTAGAGTGATGGCATTGCTCAGTGACTTAGAGAAGTTGTCACAAGAATCTCTGCTTTTCCTCAACAACATCTTGTCCATCACCGTTTCATGTGTCACTAAGCATTCACACGAGATGCAAACGAAGTACTTCATTAGTGCCAAGTTATCAGAGCAAGGCAATGAAGGTCGCTAAGGCTTAAAGATCATCTTAAACTTTTCAAGGATAACCCTAGTGAGACAGCTGAGCCCGTGTCTGAAGTTTACACTCTCAAGATAAAAGATTCACTGAGCACCGATCAAACATGGCTGATCTCTCAAATGGTTGGTTGCAAAGGTTCTGCCCTAGAAAGTCAGTTAACACCAAGAGTTTCTACTCTAAGGAAGCCTATACCACGTGGAGGAGTTGCGGCGCTTCTTACGGACGGCAGAATGGCCAATTCAGTCAACCAGCAGTGCAAAGCTTACTGCTTTCTCCCTCTTCCGGTTCACACCGGTTTACCGGTGCATGTTAATGGAACGTTTGAGCTGGGCACGGCCAGGAAGAATCTTGCAAAAAGTGTTGATTATGCAACCTCAGGTGCTTACACCGAGGAGGGTCGTCTCATTCACAGATGGAATAAAATCCTGGTGGAACATGTAATTGCTCCTGCCTATGCCAGATTAATTGAACGCGCAGGTAAGATCATATTAAAACAGATGAAAGGCAACAACTCGTTTAAAGACCAGCTTCAGTTATATGATGACCTCTTCCCACAACATTTGAAGAACTATCACGGAGAGTGGAGTCTCCTAGCAAAAGCCACCCTAAGGTACATTAGTAGTGAAAACATGCAGGTTTTGCCTGTTGTGCGTCAAATGGGAGATCCACTCACAGTCACTTGGCATCATCCGAACAGTGACACCAGTCTCGCGTACACCGATAACTTAGAAACTGCAGCAAACGTCGAACGAGACATGAAGGGAGCACGTGGCTCACAACAGTCTTTAATACGATCCTTCCTACTGAGAATAAGCTTTAATTTACTAGCCAGCTCTTCGACGATATGCTTGGCATTCCAAGAATGTGGCGTGAAAGCAAAGTTTGTGAACCCAAAGGCTGTTGTTCAGCATCTTTTGTCTGGGTCTCAAGTGGCACAGACCTTGCCTGCTCCACTGAAGAAAACAAAATTCCAGAACACGAAGACTCTTCAAGCCGTTTTTGACTATTGCCTTGCAGGCATCAAAGATCCAAAAAAACTGAATGGCTTACCTCTCCTCCTAACAAATGATGACATTTTGCGTGAGTTTTCAACATGTAATGGTCCTTATGTGACGAACCATTCTCGAGTTCTGCCCAACCTGAAGGATAAATTCCTACACGGCAAGCTTGTTTCATCTTGCATTGCTTGGTTCAAGAAGAATGGGAATGCCGAAGAAGCTTATAGCAGTGGTGCATTTAAGAAATTTACTATCTTTGAGCTTGCGCAACACCTTGGAAAGCAACTGCCTCGAATCTGGAAAGGTTGCAATCAACATGTAGAATGGACCCCACACAAAAATGATCACCCCTCCAAATCCTGGCTTGGATACCTATGGTCATTCATTTGCAGTGAGACAGGGCAGAAGGCATCCCTTGAATGCATCAGCCAGTGGCCAATATTTCCGACAACTGCGGGTAAACTGGTGCCTCCATCCTTGTCCAAAACACTATTATACCTGGAAAATGTCAGAGTGGTGTTCGGTTGGAGAATGCAAGAGGCACTGCGTAAACTGGGTCTTCCTACCATCTCAGAAGTCCTTATGTGTGAGTGTAGGGCAACGTCCTCCGTTGGCGCACCAGTAGAAACATTGCAATTTCCAGCAGCACTAAAAGAACTTCTTGAAGAACACTTAGCCCTGCCTACCTCCCGACAAGATGTTACTGGGGTCATTAACTACATGCTTGAAACAGGGGGAGAGTTTGGCAATCTATCACTAGCAGAATGTGAAACACTACTTCTCTATTTTCAGGAGGATGAGGCATTGTCTGGAAACACTATCAGGACTATCAAAAAGCTGTCGATTTTCAAACTTCTTGGAAAAGAACAGACCACTAATCTTCACTGCTTTAAATGTTATCACACAGCAGAAAGTTACCAAATGCTTAGAGATGAATCCGAGACGTGGATGAGACACATGCATTGTGTTATTCTAGAGCCCAGTCGTAGTTTGAATCTAATTCATGAAAAGCTCGGAATAACTCCGATCACTGAAGCTGACATGTATCTGAAATACATACTTCCCAGCTTCACCGTGCTCAGTGATAAGGCTAAATTAGACCACGTTAAGTTCATCAGAGACAATGTATTGCGCAATGCTTCTGCACAGGAAGGGAAAGTAATTCTCGAGCATCTCTCCCATATTCCGTTCATTCCAGACAAGACAGGTGTTCTCCGACATGCAGGCTTTTTTTACGACGGTAACAACCCTGTATTTGACGCAATGAGTGACGTGATTGACCAAATCAAGTTGCTTCCCGAATCCATGAGACTTCTGAAGCCCTTCCTTGAAAAGATTGGTTTCCATTCAATAGTTACCATGGACGATTTCATGAAGTTTGCAAACGAGATAGAAACTAGGGCAAAGAAAATAAATACAAATGAACGAGACAAACTGTGTGTCATCTCTCGTCTTCTGACAGATGAACTAGATAACAACAAAGAGCTCCACGATGCAAACTTCCTGAAAACAATTTCCACCGTTAAATTCATTCCGTCTGTTCAAATTAGGGCAGAATTGCTTCGCGTCCAACAAGCCTGTTCTGGCAATCGCCAAGGTTCTGCATTCATTGCATATCGAGGATCGGTGCCTCAGAGGTATTTGGAGCTTGTTTGGTCAGTTTGTATGGTATTACCACAGTGGGCCATTCCAAATAATGACACCACGAAGAAGGGCGTCAGTGTTCATAGTTGTCTTGGCATTGAAAAAGAGTCAGTTGCGGACAAAGTTTTTTCGCACACCTTAAACATCTGTAAAGTCCTGGAGAAAAAGAATGCTATCCACAAAGAAGACGTTATCCCCACACGAGAGCGAGAGATAATTAAACGTATTATGTATAAGATATTGGGCTACCTGAAAGACTTAGATATGGCCAAGCATAGTGGAGAGATTAAGCATCGTTTGCAGTTCACACCCATATGTCTTGTAGAAGAAGGACGTGTGTTGGTCAGAGCAGATCAGTTGGTTTTTCGCATGGAAAAAAGTCTTGAAGCTTGTTTGCGTCCGTACCTTTATGAAGCTCCCAGAGATTTGGCAAAATTTGACGAAATTCTGAGATTACTTGGTGCTCAAGATTCCTGTTCTTTTGACCAGCTCGCAGGAGTATTGTCATCATTGAAAGCAGAATGTGGTGACGGACGTCTCGGTCCAAACGAAAAGGAAACAGCAAGGGCTGCTGTCAGGGGGATTCTACTATTATTAATTCAGCAGAACGGTCAATGTGAAATTGAATGCGAAATCTCACAGTTGTATTTACCAAACTCAGAATACTTCTTGAGAAGGGCGATGGATCTATATTATGTTGATCCCGTCCAAATGGAGCGTTTCTGCCTTGCATCGACAGACCGAGAATTTATTCTTCCCTTAAGAGAGTGTGGATTTTCGGATGAAGATGAAATACACAGGTTTCAACATCTTCCGATGCACCTCCGACCGAAGAATCTAGGGGATGAGATGAGTGAAAAGCCGTTACACACCAACAAAGACTGCCCCGCTGGACATCACTGCGAGTACCTGGCAATCATCAAGCGTAAGGTGAATTCAGAGGAGATGACTCGAGCCTTGCTGAGGCTGGTACGACACCAACTTGGAGATAAGCATCCAAGTGACGAAATACAAGAACGCATAAAACAACTGCAGCATTTTGACAAATTTGTCTGCAAAACTAGCTTGAAACTGGGCTTATACGATAAGGGTGGGCACATCGTCGCACATTACAGGCACTCGCGAAAAGCGTACTTAATTAAAAAGACTGGTATAATACACCTGGAACACTCTTCATTGTTTAAAGACACTGGGTTAATTTGTGGACAAATTGCAAACAGCTGCAATGAGGTCCTTGGACGCATTTTGGATTCTGATCATTTAAGAGTGTTTGCAAATTCCTTGGAATGTGAGAGTCTGGACGATATAAATACAACTCTTTCCAAATCAGACGTTCCTGAGTATGGCATTACTACAGAAGCAATCCGGCCAGACGAGCACAGACCAGGGTCTCCAATACCCGCAGATATTCACCATCTCCTTGACCAAGATCCCTACAACCGCTTTTTTGACGGCGAGATTGTTGGATACGAACGAAACATCGACGCTCTGTGTACATCAGTAGATGTTGCTGCTGAGAAAATCTATGCAAAAATCCTAAAGCAAGTTGACGAAGTTGATGAAACAGTTGGCTTATCAAGACGCTATAAAATTGACATCGGAGAAAAGGATCCCATCATTGTTAGAGTGACTGCATTGTATAAATTCCTGCGTCCAAAAAAACAACCAGACATGCATGTCGTTCTTTCTACTGGGGAGCCTACAGATGATGTTCTAGCGGCAAAGTTGGAAGAGGCTCTGCCAGAGGACTACGAGAAGCAGATTGAGAATGAGGTTGCGGAGGCATTCACATTGCAACCCGAGGAGCGCAGAAGGGTTTTGAAACGTCTCTATCGTAAGTGGCACCCCGACAAGAATCCAGGACAGCAGGAACGTGCTAATAAGGCATTCCAGTTCCTGAAACAGGTAATAGAAAGGCATGAAAAGGGGAATAAGTCCGGCCGGAGCTGTTCTGATCAGTTTTCCTCCTGGGAGTCAGAAGCTAAAAGGGACAGGGAAGAGGCCAGGAGATATCAAGAGAGATATTACCAAAGTCGGCATAGCGCCAGATCAAGCACATCAGACAGTTATTTTGTGCCACCATCTTTTGAAAGAGAGACCTCCAAAAATCCACGAAAAGCACAGCTGTGGTTTCGGCAGGCCCAGGAACACTTCCAGTCTGCAGAACTGACGAGCAAGCAAAGACCAGTCCAGAGTCAGTGGATTGCTTTCCAGGTACATCAAGCGGTAGAGACGGCTCTCAAAGCCGCTCAGTACAGTCTGGATGGACGCCCAGACATAACAACTACTGATTTAATATCCCTCGCGAGAGCCGTCTGCGAACACTGTGATGTAACCTCTGACCGAGTGTTAGAAGTAACACTAGAGCTAGTCAGTCTGAACTGTCACTTTAGTAAACCACGCTACCCGCAGAGCTCTCACACAAGCGGACAGGAATATCGCGGTTTCAGAACACACGATGTTTTGAAGAAGTGTAAAGAACTGCTGAAGCTTACTCAAGACATAATCAATATCCGCATATTTTGAAGCAGGAAGATTTGATGCGTTGTGGTAATTATTAAAAAGTTGCCCGACAGTTTTTAGCATGTTGAATATTTTAACTCATCTATCTTTATATCGTACGTGCAGTGCCTTGCATTGGTAAATTGCTCAAGGTTTGCGTGTAACACAATTATTGATTTAGGGGACTGAATATGTTGAAACGATTAAATTCAAAATATATCTTAGTTTTAAATTGTCTGCATTACATTTCCATCGTGTAAAAACATGCACGATATTATTACAGTTTATGTACATGTATTAGGACTGTGTCTTGTTTGTTTTCCAAACTGTGTTGTCACTAAATATAATTCAGTTCGATACACAAAGTTTCTATTGGGAATATCCTGAGTTGTATTCTGTGAATAGAGGGAAGTATCTTACATCTGTTACATTTGGACAAAGGTCAGGCACTGATGACCAGTTTTCTCTGAGCGTGCAAGATATATTTATGGGTAGGGAGTTAATTTATTTACTGCAAATGTGGTAATTATGAAGAATGACCGTTTATGTACTTATATGTTAGGATCTTTTGGGTACTCAGAATTTGTTAACTATATTCTATTGGTAGGTGTAGAGTTCTTTACGTATCTTTCTTGTATGCACTCGAGATTGTACCGTAGAAACTAATGGCAGATGGAAAGATTTAGGGAATGAAGTTTATACCGTTTGTCAGATATTTGTATCGATTTCATTTGGCAGCAATTTGCTATTAATAGAGAAAGCAGAAATAGTAAAATCGCGTAATTGTTGTTATAATGTACTTACGTATAAACCCACATGTTGATGTCGCGTAGGAATACTGAGGTGTGATGCAGCAGTGTAAATAGTAAAAGTAAAGTGCAAAGTAAAAGCGAGGTTAAATTTGTTTTGGGTCTTTAAACAATAGTGCAGTTCAAACGTGAATTTCCGATGGGCCAAAATTTGAGTTTTACTTTTGGAAGTTAAAATGAATAAGTCATTCATTTATACAGACAAAGAATAGGTCATTCAGTGATGATGAAGAACGCGTGTAATAAAAGGAAACTTAATTTCAGTAATATAATGCACGATTTTAATCGTCTGGAAGACGAAAAACCCGTGAACCCGGCTGCTCAAGTATTTTTAATTTCTTTTTTACATTGTTCAGTTAATACCAGTTTTTCATTCAACTGAGATCTTAAATTGAACTCACTGCAAACAGTGACAAGATCAGATGATGTCACTGAAGTGTCCAGCCAACAATACACGAAAACGTTTGGTAAACATTCATATGTCGTAAAACGTATTTTCTGTGCTGTAAAAACCAGACAATTATTTAAGCTTTAAGAGATGGATAACTTATTTATTCATAATTTCCAGACCCACAAAATTTCTCATTTTATTTTAAACAACAAAACCAAACAAAAGAGAAGATATAAAAAGTCTTTTGTTAGCAACAACAAAAGCGACTAAACAACTCTGGAGGCAGAGAAAATGAATAACAACCCTTTGCCTTTGGGGACGATAGAACAGATTTTAAAAGGAGCATTGTGATAAAGAGCAATGGACCAGGCATTCATAATTATGTAGACAGGAAATGTCAGCGATTGGGATATTTTAGACAATACCTTTCGAATAATGCGATGGTTTGTTGGTAGAAAATGTGAAAGATTTATGTACTATACCCATTTTATTATAATAGTGTCTCACTAGAAGTTGTAAAAGAATACAATTTCATGTATGCTTAAACTAACGTGCAACTATGCATTTACAATGGGAATTTAATCATGGTTTAATTTTCCTCATAGGAATGATGATGAAATCCGTTAAGGGAGCGGCTTTAGGATGTTAGAGGTGATAGATTTTTATATCTCAGAAATCCTAAGTGTTTGAATAGAACCCCAAATCGTACAATTCCAATACATAACCATGCTTATAGACACTGACTCGAAGTCGAAGCTTTCAAGTCAACTTACTGTAGCCAACCTATGCATTGCAAAACAATTTTGCGTCAAAATAATTGTAAAGAATCTGTTTATTCTGTTCGTTTGTGATATAGTGTATTTGTGTGATATTACAAATGAGCACGTGTTTTTGCTTTATAATAATAATAATCATGATAACTAATATCGCTGGTAACTTGCAGCAAAGGAGAAGCTGTCTGTGTTTAGATTACATTTTCTTGTTTTTCTTGAGGATTAATAATATCAACCATTCATTGCTGCAAAGCTAAATTATTGATTCATTTTAATGCCTGAATTTCTGTGGATGATGCAGTGTTATTGTTTTCTATAGATGAAATTCCATTTACATGAATTGCAAAAATAAAAGTTCGAATTTCTGTCTAAGACATTGGGATTACAGAATGAAGTGATTGAGGAAATATTTTAAATTCTTAATTAATTGGCACGCTGAGTAAAAAGATGTTCGCACCTATGAACATTTGCTATAAAATGTAAAGGTTATACTTTAAAGACAAACCCATATCCAAAGTATTGTACGAAAACCTTTCAGCTACTTAATCAACTACATTGAGTAGAAAAAGCCGTAAATCTAATTACAATTAATTACACCAATTGGTCAGTGATAACAGGATCAAATACCATAAATCTTATAGACAAAACGATTATACTGACAACTTGCCCTCTATTTAACCCCAAATAGAAAACCAAGAAAATGAGATGCTAATGTCAGGGTTACTGATGGTCAGTCCCTTTTTAAACAGATCTGTAGGTGCTAAGCTTTTACGTTCACAGTCATCTGTATGTGATATGTGAACCTCTCAAACTTTTGCTGTCCATTAATTTCAGAGTTCAGTAATGCTGTATTAAATATTTTTTGACAAAAATACTTTATGACATAAACATTAGCAAATGCACCTTCAACACTTCTTTAGTGACACTTCATTATTTATTACTGTGGATTGGGATGGTGTTCTCTGCGCCTTACAATATTTATGTATCCACTTTTCCTGTAATATATATTTTAGGTGCAGATCACTGTGGCGTAACTCTAAATTATAGGGGTGCTGAATGCACGCCTAGGTTTTTTACATTTCAAAAGCTAAACTGGGGGGGGGGGCACAGACATCCGTTAGGGGGAGGGGCAACAGTTGTCCCACTATTATTAGGCGTGTATGCACGTTCAACTACTGCTGCAAGTTTCACGGCTCCGCTGATCAATGAATTCAGCGCTGAAATTAAGATTCTGTGCTAAGCACCGCATGCAAATCAGATAAGATCATACCAGTGAAACACGCTCAGCAAATTTTATTTATTTACAATTTTTTTTTTGGGGGGGGGCATTTTTCCTAATTTTATTTTGGCTATGGCTGGCATAGTCTCTCCGCTTCTTAAAGACAGCCATGTAAAACGGGTCATCATGATAAATCACTTTGAATGGGATATACATGTATTTGACGATATATTAAAACCAAGTAATCCATTTGCCGTAGGAGAAAACAAATGCTTTGATGATGGTTAAGTGATACAGAATACAATATTCAAATAATCCTTTGCAATTACGTAATATATCGCCTAATATCCATCACCATCTAACGCCAATACTTTCGCAGTCGTTTCCAAAACTCGCATTAATGCTTAGGGCTTTCCAGCGACACAAGCTGTGGCCTATGGTAAACGACCCAGGAATATACCCACACACCTTAATTAAACACAGCGGACTTACTTAACTTGCTTGACACTGCGTGCATAAGGTAAATAGACCTTTGTTTTTTTCATGTTCATGTACACGAATTTCTCATACGCTACTAAGGCACACGCGGCTAAAGATCGTTAGTCCGGATGTTTCTCCAGTGTAACAATTAATACTGTACATGTATAAAGAATAGCAATCAGTACCGTAGAACGGAAACTTTAAGACAAAGTGCCACCCTTAGGCTGAACCGATGCCTTTGGCACTCTGGGAAACGTTAAAGGAAACTTTCTCTGCACTACATTATTCAGAGAGGCGTTTGATAAATTTGTTTGTGTTTCTGTAAAGCTTTTATAACATTAAATTTCCTGCTCTTTCTAAATAAGAAAAATCATCATTGTTGTAGGTTTACAAGTTTAGTGACTTCTGTCAGTTTCATTCGATAACCATAAGTGGACAAAGTTGCCCAAATATGCGGGAAAACTTTGGCAGCTCACTAGACAGGTTTCTTAATCTTATCCAAAGGGAGGAATCAAACTTTTGTTGTCCGCATTTCAGACCCTGACCGATATAATAAAAATACACGGGTTTTCGTGTTTTGTAAAATGTAACGATAATACAAGATAAAAAAACCTGCTGAAGTTACTTCCACTTGACAAGACATCGACCAAAAGAAACCCAAGCTATAAGTTAAAATACAAATCTTCGGTCTGAAATTCAATTTGATTATATTTTAATGGGAAAAGAATAAGTATAGCAGTTTGTTCCTGCTAAAATGAAACGCGATCATATACAGGTGACAGCAGGTCTGAGTACAGTCAATGAAAAACACCTCAGGATTATAATCGCGGGGCTCCTAAACAAATCACATTTTTCTTCAAACTAAATAGGATTTCATTCCTCGCCTAAGTCTGTGTTTCCACTTCCACTTTCTCTGGGCCAATGGCTTCCACGTAGGATGGTGGCATCACTTGATCTTCCACGAACACGCTGTTAGTATAGCCTTCCAGGCTCGTGTGGACACCCTCCCCATGGCTACTGCGGTTCGGATACGGTGGATACCCTACCTCGGCTCGATCTTCATCTTTTGCTGGACCCCACTCGGGAGTGGACCTGATGGCTACCTTCACTCTCTGTTAGAACAATCAAGGGCATTAATGCAAACATTGGCCAACGGAAGAGAGTAGAAATTACAGAAAGCCAGAAGCTAATTTTAGAGACATCACTGCGATTCCCCACCGAGTACCATACGTCGACAGTCCATTCCATAGTAACACAGCCCTGAGTCAACTTTCAAAGTGAGCTGCTCAGTAGTGCTTTGCATATTTTTGCTCCTAGCAGACGACAACATCGAACGACAGCAACAACAACAACAAAAACAAAAGAACTGGAAAAGCAGCTGCAATCCAGCTCGAACACCGTGACATTTTGACTGCTTATCTGCTTTTTCTATAAACAGATGTGTTCTGTGCTCTGTAATTCCGCAAATTTGGCCACAGGATTTAAAAGAAAACATCGTGTATGTTAGCAGTATGACACGCGCCCAAGGAGCCCCAGGGAAAACCAATCATCTAATCCCAAACCAGGTTACTGACCGTATGGAGACAGTTGGGGTTCGAAGAGGCGTACAGGGGCCTTTCTGAAGACCAATGCTGGAGAAAATTTACATCTGGGACTGGAAATAGACATTGAGCAATAGTAGTGATGACTCTTCATCACCAGTATCGCTAGCATCACCCCCAGGTGCTGGCATTAAGAGCTAGCACATCCCTGTCGATTTCCCAAGCCCTGTTTGGGAGAAAGGGAATCAAAAAGGAACTACGTTTACCTCCAGCAGTGTGCCCCGAACCTTGACCACCAAGTAGTATACGGCGTAAATAATGACGCATATCAGTGAGGAGCATGTCATAATCCAGCCGACTGCCTCAGCCCAGACTGGGAAGATGTAACTGGCGTAGGACGCTGGAACGTAATCCACGAAGCCATACACTGTAGGGAACTTTACATAAGCGAGGAATGAAATTGGACATTTATTAAAAACATTCCAAAACAAAACATAAAAGCCGACGAATCAGTCAGCCGTACGGAGCACAAAGTCAATAGGTTCAGTTGTGGATTTTAATTGTTAAGCACTACATGTCTATATAACTTCAGCATTAATGGACTTCCCATATGCCACGCTATTAACTGTTGAAAAACCCTGTCATCTAAAAGTAAACTATGAAATAATTTGGAAAAAAATTGATTACCCCGAACGTCACAAAAAGAGAAATCACTCTGAATACGCCTTAGCCCCAGGGTTATCGATAAAACTGAACCAATGACATAATATAGCTACCTAAATATTTTTAATGAAGATTATCACGGCTAAGTGTTCAAACCGTCGCTTCGAAACCAACAATATCACCTACGTTTTGTTGTCTTTCATCACAAAAAAGTAGGAAATCTAAGAGCACTGGCTTAAGCTAGGGCCCTGGATTTTGCTGCCTTGGGTAGTACACTTGTACTTGGCCTACTTACAATTATCAGGACAGGAGTGACAAGATACCACATGATCTTCCAGCAGACTTTCCAAACTTTATTATTGATGCCAATCATAAAGCCAACCTCTTGAAGGAACCTCTCAAGTCCTAACATTTTATTGAAAGGAGATAAGAATTAAAAATTCATACAATGATAATAAGACGTCCCTATATAGAGAGCCGAAACCAATGAAATAATACTACTCTGCATTACGGTAAAATGCCGGCATCTTGCGCCAGCCTTTAGCGATCGTGTGGCTTTAAAGCATCCGGTATATCTTCCTTTAGACATTCAAAATAGATTTTGCCCCCTCCCCGTCACTTCACGGGATCTTCCAAAGATTCAGACATTTCTTTGTTCGTTAAATCATTGGTGTCACTCACTGAAAGTGCGCGGTCTTTCAAAGCGATGTGTTCAGTAAATCTTTAATTAATCCTAAGAGAGCCGGGTATTTTGGACCATCTCACAGCCGGGGGAACCCCTAAGAACTTTGCTGTTCCGCTTAAACTTTTCATACTTGGCATGCATGTAAATGTGAAGTTTGAGCTCAATCAAACTCATGGTTTTGTTGTTACAGTCATTTGAAGTTCAAGGCTGCATGTGTGCCAGCCCGCGTGCATTACAGTGGAAAAAAAGTACATTTTGGCTGACCTCTCTCAAAAGAATGCACTCTGGGCAAAAACAATATGTTTGATTTTCACAAAACTGGTGTAAAAATGACCGCAAAGAGCTACTCTAACTAAAAACTCTTAAAGGCCCAACTCCTGAAAACACGCACGGTAAAAATTACCAATGTCGACCGGCGAGTTGGAAAAAAGACCATTTTGGGGAAGGGCGTTGAGGGTCCCTGCTACATGTTGTGAAAGTCGCTTGTACGGCCAAGCTCCGTGTTTACTTAAGAAAAATATACAAAAAAAATTTCCCATAAAATGGTCAAAACCTCTTCTTGGAATACTAAGGAGGCTATCATAAAACCTGATTGTAGACCCTTTACTTCCATTGGCCAAGGCTAAAAGTTCACCTTTGAGAAGGTCTTTCCAGGTTCAGGATACAAGATAAGATAAAAAAATAAGTTACTAAAGAGACACTTCAAACACAGGCTGAATACTGCAGGCAGAAAGAAACTCACCATAGATGCAGTTGAATACAAACAGTTCCGTTAAAGCTAAAAGCATTGGGCTGTAACCAGCAGAGTACCAGTCGAACAATGTCATCAAATAGATACCTCCCTGAAAACATGCAACAAAGTTTTAAAAGAAGGGTTAGGTACGACATAATTCTAATTGTCTCGAATTCCTATTCAACAGCAGCCAACACTAAAACATAAATAATAGGCAATGTTTGTAACCCATTTCTTTTTAAACATCGTGATAACTGTTTTTTTCTTTTCTTCAAATCCGTTTTAAAACCTTCGGTGTAGGATGTGTTTGTATTTTGTCGTAATTGCAAAGATCATACTCATGAGATTTGTTTAGCTTACATTCATCGTGAAAGGCAGGCCAATCAGCAACATGGAGACACAGACGCCTAATATGATAAATGTCTTCTTCTTACGGATGTTGGGGCGGTAGTCGGCTACCTCATCAGTAATTGCGGTAATGATGGTCTCCACGGTAACAAACTGACACCATAAAGTAATTGAAAGAGCAATACGAAGAGTTAATTATGGTGTTGTCATTGTGGGAATGAACTAATTAACTTTTCTCCATTCTCAAGGTGTTGAACATCTTACAAAATACATGTAAAGGCGGAGACAGACGCCAAAAATACTGATAGTGGAGTTTTTGAAGAAACTCATTGATTAGTTTTCAAGAGGTTAGTTAAACATAATTAAAGTAGCATTTGTACATAACCCCAGTAAAATCCGCAAGTAAACTTACGAAGTGGGATTTTATATACAGGATTTCCACATAAAAGTATATCGATATAAGAAATTGCTGTAATTGGTAAAACTACTTTATATATGGGAAAGAGAATATGTCTCTCAAAAGGTAACTATTTTAAGATTGATTTAGGTAGACCCTTCTCTAATTGTTTTCAAGAATGTGTTCTTAAAGCAAAGGCGATTGTTATTCTACTTGCGTAGTCGAATCTTATTAATCAAAATGTAAACTTGTCAAGAAAATCATATTTGCGCCCTCCATTTTGATTGATCCTTTCACCAGGCGAAAGAAAAGTGGGGTAGCGAGTTGTGTGTCTGAGGACCTAAAAATATAATTATGATGCTGTAAAATACCTGACTGTCCAATCCCAGCGTGATAAGCATGAAGAAGAACAAGAAGGACCAGAGCTGTGGCACGACAGATATCCGAGAGATAGCTTCAGGATAAGCAACAAATGCTAACCCAGGTCCTAAGAAAAACCACACAAGACATTCCTTAGGCACACGTTCCAATCTCACTCCACATTTGTAATCAGAAACTTCAAACAGGCAAATTCAGTAAAGATTAAAGCAAACCGAAGGACTGTATATTAGTCTTTTAGGTACATACAACGATCACCTAATTCCCAATTCAAATTACGCGTGAAAACACTGAGAGCGAACTTTGTAGCAACTTACAATTCATAACTGGTATCAATCCAAAAAGATCAAACCTGGAGACGAATTTTTTGTAGGTTTAAAGATGTACTGAGACCAAAACTAATTTGCTGAGTTAAAATAGGTTATCAGCCAAAACGCCATGCTGTAGAAACTATTTTCGACAAAATCAGAGTTGATTCTGCAGTGTGTTAATTTATCCAGCATCATGTGGTCACAAGAAAAGTGAAATGGGCTCCTGTTATTTTTGTTACATACTATTCAAATTTTATTTCAGGATTCTCTAAGTCTTGACAAGATAAAAGACAACGGATATACATGTACACAAAAATCCACCCAACCTGACAAAATGAAAGGGGTAAGTTTGAATGAAACTTTATGTTCCTAGTGACACGTCGTAGCAAGGTTGCAGTAGCATTTAATTTCGTTTAACAAATGAATTTGTGGAATCGAACCAATCTCTACGTTTTAGAGATTCAGAATATTTTACTCTACCTGCGTCTACTGCATCTTTAATGTCAACTTGTGCGTCACACGCCATAAAGCCGATGATGGAGAACACAACAAATCCGGCAAGAATGCTAGTCAGTGCACCGCCTACCACGATTGCTATGGTGTCTCTGCAATAAACAAACAGACACCAAACTATTTTCCATGCTCCTGATCGTAACCGATGTCACATTGAAAGTCTTGTTTACTGTCATCTCACATATTATGAAATCTGAAACAGTTCAGTAAAAAATCAATGCTTTGCAAAACTAAACACTAGCAACAGGTGTGTATGGGAAGGCATGAAATAATGGGCTTTGCGCGTTTTGTTCCGTCAAGGAGGATACAATACATAAACTTTCCGTGTGACCACAAACGATCCGTAGACCAGTTTGTATTTAAATTTACGGTCGGCACATGGGACCGTAGTTTAAATGGGCACGGTTTGAAGCATTTGCCCTTTGAGCTCATAGGCCTAGTCGTTATACTTAGCCTAAGGAGTCAGAAAAACCTTTGCATTGACTGTACCCAACATATCTCCGTCAGAATATCTTTTTGTGTTACGTGAGTATTACAGAGAGGGATATTTCATGCATCGGTTACAGATCAAAGAAAAAGGAATCAGAGTACGTGCGACGTTAGTTTGAACAAGGAAGTGTGGTGTAAGTGAATGGAGTGGTGCTGCTTTTTGCAGACGTATTGTGCGTATATGACATATTCACTTCGCTACTCTGCAGCCCTTTTCTAATTACCACCTACCTGAGCGTATTGTTGTGGAATTTGTTGTAACTTGCCAACGTATGCAAGCCTCCCCAGCCCGCACCAAATGAAAATACAACCTGATTGGCTGCAGCCTTCCAAACCTATGACGTCATTGATTAAAACACAATTTTAGAAATATGGAAGGATAGGCCAAATTACAGATTAAGTATGTAACCTGACAACCGTGACCAGAGGTATCAAAATCGAAAAATAAATATTTTACAAGCGTTTTTCTCAATCAGCTCTAATTGTCTCATGAATATTATAGGGCACACGAAAAGAGGCGAGACTCCACCTTTTCTAGTATGATCAGTCATTTCCCCAGACTAAGAGTGCGTCAGAGACAATGAGTATATTATTAACTGAATTTAAAACAACAGGTTATTTTGCAACATGTTTTGAAAATTCTGATACACTGGTCACGTTTTAAAAACACCGATGCAAATATCATTTATACTGGTCCCTGGCAACTAAACCATAATTTTTGTCTAAGCTTTTTTCGAGCAATTTCGTCTTGCAAATTATGATTTCAGTGCATGCAAGTATATGAAACGACTTAGTCCAACGATTACAGTGCTGTGCAACGGGGCACCAGTCTATTTTCAATCTTGCATCAGTATTTAAGTTTATATTCTACACCAACTCAAGTTTTGACCAATGCAAACAAAGGAGAGCACGAGAAGGGATTTAAAATAAACCTTTTCAGTTTAATCAAAACACTAAATTTGCTTTTGGATCTTGGGCAAACTCTTGCCTCTTAAAAAATTCATCACGTATGCTTGAATTTTGTTTGCGAAGGTCAACGAGTTGGGACAACAAGTGGTAAGTCTTTCTGCTATTTAAAATCACTGTGTACCGTGGTGCTGGTCGAGAGGTCTGGCGACGACCGCTTTTTGGAGTGCGCAGGTACAACTCCCCTTTAGCTAATGAGAAATAGATGTAATGTTCAAAGTTTGTGTTCTCATTGAGGATGGGTTCTTTTCGCCACACTGTTCTACGAAGTGATTTCCTAAAGGTTTCTTTTTTTGAGACCACACATATAATTGCAGCCAAATTCCATTTTCCAGGCCATTTACTGCTTTTGAATCAATTTATTTCAGCCATCCAGAGTTTTTACCTTGTCACCTTAATGGTTTCAACTTTCAACTTGTCCAAAGTTTCCACAAATTATCAAAGGTACATACTCGACCTATAAAGTTTTACACTATTGGTTTTCGTATGAGGAAAGGCTGTACAGTGAGTATCGATAATCATGGCTGCACACGCATGAAGAACTGTTTGAAAATGCCACGATCCACTGTGCGAATTAAAACCCATCCGTTGTCCTCGAATGAGTCAAATAGAGTAGTTTAGCCGCTGCAAAGCTGTAGTGTAATTTTAACACCCTTGATATCAGAGGACCGAAATAGCAGCAGTGGTCCTATATAGATCCTTTTCACGTGACATAGGCAGACATGCTCATCAAGTGTGGACCGCTCGTGGAAAAGTCTGCCTGACATACTGTCCATTACTGAGTATCAAATTATAAATAATTTGAAAAAGAGAAAAAGAAACCCAGAAGCGCTCGATCATAAGGCTAGCTTATTCTGTTGACGGCCACAACAGATTCTCCTTTTCAATTTGGAAGTTTATAAAGAACCAGATATTCTTCCACTGAGGTTTAAATCACAACTAGGTTGCCTACTAACATCACCTAGGGCGGTCCAGTTCTATTCGTCAGCGTGCCTTTTGTCAAGTGGGTAAAAGGGTCTATAAAATTATATACCTGTCAGGAGTATTACCACATATACCTCTACCGATACAGTAATTTTCGTCCAAATTCAACGTTAAATATCTCAAGTTGGCAATGATGAATTTCCAATCGCATGGACACAACTTTGTCTTAGAATGTCCAGTTGATGTCTGCGATGTTTTTGGTTTATTTCTGTTTTCTGGAAGGCCTATAAAATTTTTATACGGAATATTTCGTCGGTGTTTTGTTTCATATGCTCCAACATTAAAGGAAAGCACCCTGTAACATGGAAACACCCACAATCCATTGTAAGCCGCAAGAACAGGCGATATAATTAGTCATATTGTATGAGATTTGTGACACAATAGGCCGTCCAAATATGGTAATACTACAGACTGTATACCAGGGGTGTTAAATTTTACAATGCAGCTTCATAATGTACGCACCTGATAAAATACCATCAACCGTCCTGTGTCAACAATATGATTGTGTTTCGTGAAAAGGAGCAAAATTTAGTGCTGCAAGTCATCAACCAAGCAGTATATCCTGAAGAATTATAGCAGTAAGCCCCAGCCATTCATTTTTTGACCGCTTTATGACACTGACACCCCCTTGCCAGGGTCATAGTTTTTGTTTTTCGATTTGACTCATTTTAGGACAAGTGACTCGGCATTGTGAAATGTTCGTTCTGATTTCCAGGCAGGAAATGTGGTTTACTCTCTGAAGTGGAAAGAAGCTGAAAATAAAACAAACAGGAGAAGACGTTCATTAGAAGCATTTTAACCCACACCTAATGCCTTAGCAGATGAAGTACCACAAAAAGAAACAGCTGGAAAGAATACATGGTAGCATTGTGAAACGAAAGGAAAGTGCTTAACGCATGAAATGCATAGCCGTGCAGAAACACAAGGAACTGGCAAAAGGCAAGATATTAGATGTAGCATGTCACACAATGGCCAAATCAATTGTTCTGGAGGCCTTAGGCTACTAACTTTACTTTGCTTTACAGGCACCAGGACCAATTTCATAGTGCTGAAGCATCACATATCACGCCGGAGGCCAGGCTGATCTAAGCTATACTTTAAAGATTTTCCGAAATTAGACATAGAGAGAGAGAAGACCCAAATATTGTTTGTTTTGTTTATTTTATGGTACACGTTTTAATAATTCTATGGGCTCTTAAATTCTTTGTTGGCTTTAGCATGGCACCAACCTTGCCGAAGCCACAATTAAGCAACGGTATAGCTAAGTAGGGTCAATACTTTAAGGCCTTTACTCCGAAATTTGTCAAAGACATATGTAAGACTTGACATGGCACCCTGATGAAAAGATGTGTGTTATGATATACCAATGCCTTGGCCCATTGGCCAAAATTATTGTCAAATATGAAGTTGCGATAACTTCTCTTTGGTGTTTGTCGAAGGAAAATTTTGAATAATAGCGGAAGACAAACGCAAAAAAGTTTCGAACCAAATAATTGACGTGAAGTGATGACTTGAGTTTCGAATGGAAATCATGATAGGATATTATACTTCATGAATCTGAGCTGAATACAAGTATACATCCCATGTAATCGGAGAATAGCCATTACAATAAACAGTACCGGTATGTAACTGGCGATGTGTGTTAGTCGTGTTTTTCGCTTTTACAGGAAGTTAGCCGACACTTTTGCAAAATATTAAAATACCAAACTAATGATAGTTATCTTAAAATTAACCAAGATACACAAAGCCTCTTGTTTTAGTCTGTGAAGCTATCATACATCACCGGTACATGTCGTTAAATTACGTTTGATCTCCCTGCAGAGGAGGGCTCAAACATCAAACGGCAGCGACTTCGTGTATACGGGTCACTTCTTTGGATAGACTTTAACCTTATCCATAATGAGCCTTGCCAGAACTATTCACACGGCTTTCATCGTAACAAAGGGATTTTTGTGTGACTGTTTGTACAAGCCAGAGCCGTTGTATGTACTATCACAATGTCAACATTAACGGGAGAAAAAAATGAACCAGTTTAGGTTTCCAACATCCCATGCCAAAAAGGAAGCGCGTCTGTTGGGATCAATACGCAAGCAAGGTCTGCCACATCGGCGCGGCCGTCAGCCGACTCGCATGCATACATATAAAACGTCATGGTGTACCCTTTATTGACTTCATTCAGGGAGTGGCTTTTACATTCGCCATTTTCACACGGCTTTGATATCTGTAATTTTGTTAAGTTTGTATTGCTGCAGGAAATAAGACCTTTTAGCAATAACTTCTGAAAGATTTCAAAGTTTTTATCGGCCACAACATTCTGAATAAAATTAATAAAAGGCTCGCTTTAAATTTCTAATTGCCGTTCAGCGAGGAAGAACCGATAACGGATAAGCAACCATTTTGTCCCACTTTTTGCACTGCAGCATTATGAATCATATAAAAATGCAGGTCACATGGCCAGGAAATGATGAAAATTAAATCAGCTTGAAGACGTCTTTAATTTGATAAATTAAAGAATTCTTGAAGCCAATTTCATATTCATTATTTCGTGGCCATGATACCTGCATTTTAAAAAAATAACTCGTTTCTATTTCAAAAACCTGTCAGTTCTTCCTTGCATGGGCACTCTAAACTACTTTATGTTCTCTCCAATAATGGCACATGATACCTGTATATCCAACAGTTTATCAAACTGCGGCGTGATGAAGTAAAGTATCCCGTTGATCGCGCCAGGCTGTAGAACGCCAATGACGAGCAAAGCTATCAAGGCGAAATACGGGAAGGTTGCCGTGAAGTAAACAACCTACAACAAAGAAAGTTAGGTGGGTTACGTGAATCATTTCTAATGGGCAAAGACACAGAAAAACTGAGCAACTGATTCGCTGTCACAAGTTAATTCGATCTCTTAGTCTCTGAGCTCTGGACTTGAGAAAATAGAGCAAATCATCTGAAGATGCACCGTCTGTCATTTTTATTGTCTTCGCTCTGTAACGCTCGTGAGGTATTCAAATGAAAGTCTATCGATAATAATCTGTCAAATAAACGCTGAAAAACCATGAGCTACGCTTAAAGAATGAGTCAAAAAAGGTAATCTGAAACATTGACTTTTCGAGACAAATGAACAAAACCTTATTTGCCCAGTCTGACTAGCAAGGATTTGGTTACCTTCCCTGATGTCTTGACACCTTTGCTAATGCAGATAAAAGTCAATAACCAGGCGAAGATGAAGCATAGAAGAATTTCCCATTGAATGGTTCCCATGTTATCTAAGGAATCTGAGATCTTTAAGACGCGTCGTCTGTAAGAAAAATACAAACCTTCAATCATTTGAAATTTGCAGATTTGTTGCAAAAATAAAACGATTATGTCATCAATTACTAGATTTTGTACGCCATATTAAGCATAAATCAATACAAATTTATCACGAATAGAGTCATTTACTTGAAATACTCCTCGCTTGAAAAGATAGGCTTGGAGCTGTCGTTGTAATTAGGTATCGGACACTCCTTCAAGTCATCGCCTTGAGAGGCAGAGAAGCAGTCTTGTGTGTTAAACTCTGTGTGGTTGCACCCAACCCATGGCAAAGGGTTCTGCACCGAGGCAAACATGTAGTACGTAGCGTAGGCGATGATGATATTGTAGTACAGACAGAAGTAAGCCGACATCAAGACCATGCCAAAACCGATACCTGCCAAGAGACGACGGTATTCTCATAAAGGAGAGTAAAAAATTAAACAAGAACAGAAAGTAATGTACTTTTCAAGATGAAGTATTTTGCGTCGGGGATATGTTGATTTTTAACGGGTTTTGCCACGTATACACAGACATACATCCATGGAACTGTATACTCAATGTTTGTTCAGGAGCTTGCAAAAAATTTAAAAATTTATTTGGGAGGGACTCAAACCAACGACTACCTTCCTACAAGTGCAGACGCCTTAACCACTTTACCACGGAATTTGCCAGACGGGGTGGGCTGGCCGCTCCGAGTCTGAAAGAAGCGGGTATCGCAAACTTTTTTGTTTCGGTTAGATGTTAATTTTAATTACAGATTTTGCCCTTACAAGGAACAGTGCAGAGAAGATTTTTTTTCCTGCTCCGACCGCCATTTTATTTGCAACGCTCGTTTGTGTTTTTAACTGGGAGACAATATGTTGGTTTTTAGAAGAGGTTTTTGCTTCGTTCCAGTACAGAAGCATGGAAGTATGGAAGCGTAAGGGCACATGCAAATTATGTTTTTAGAGTGGTGTCAATTTAACATATTGTCAATTTAACTTGAAATTTTAATGAGAAATAATGATCCTTCACTCGAGCATTCGAAACATAAAAGGAGGCATTCAATTTCGTTATTGAGCATTCTTTCTGGAAATACATTCGTTCAAACTCCGAAAGTCGTTTCGTTTATTCACATCCGTTAATAGGCTCAGAAAGAGGTTGATCAAGCATTCGAGTAGTTCATAAGTAATCTGATTTCACATGTTGGCATTCAAGATTCGTTCCAGTGATAAGCACTTTCGTGCATCCCATATAAAATCTAATTTTCCAAGAAGAACGATTTAATGGTGGATCTTGAGACAGCTGATTGTCAACGTAACTTGTGCAAAAATTTTGGTGGCTTGGTTCTTACAAATTAACATAAAATGAAAACGAACATAATATTGTAGGTTGGGGAATTAAAGCTTACACTTCCCACATATTAAAGCATAGAAAGCTGTAAACAAGTTTTTAATCTAAGTTTTTCCATTTCATGTTTAGCGTTAACCTTGGATTTGTTTCCCTAAACTTTTTTAAACTTTTATATGTACACATACATGTATTTTGAAATGGTCCAAATAATCAGATATGAAGCATTAAACGCGCAGCATATCAGTAAACGCAACACAGAGCACTTTCTGATTTGACTCAAGAAATAGCTGTAGATACAAACAAAAAATAAAGTGCACAAAGTAATAATTCACAATCATCAAAACGCAATGATTATGGAACAAGAATTTTATACAGAACGATTTACAATGAAAGACTTACGGCATTTATTTATAAGCATTGTATTAAAACTTTACACTGCATCTGCCTTTCGTAGTGCTCTAAAAGAGAGAAGGCTCAAGCAATGTAAATTGTTACCCCTATTTAACTTTAAATGTGCATGTTATTGCTTTGATAATACAAATATAGGTGAAGTGGGATGACATTTCTGAGAAATGTCGATGTCATACGGTCACTTTAATTTGGATTTACAGTAATTAACCATGACAACAGACCATGTCAACACGCAAAACAGTGCCTCTACCAGAGGTACATTAACAAAGCTTAATGTGTGCGTGACAAAACTGTTATTCATCGAAGACACCGTCTTGCACTGCTTTGGTTGGGGGTGTTATGTAATCCAGTGTTTAAGGTAATTTCTCCTTTAATATTTGCTGCCCTTATTATACATACGCGCATTGTACCAGCTTTAAACTGAAGTTGCGCACCCCTTTTATAACTGGTTTCTGCTTGGACGTATTAAAACTTGTGGTTGGGCGTCAAATGCTGACCCACGTAGTGGTCGTTGGGGTGAGAGCTATACATGCACACATGCAATCAAAATCACGTCTACTCTTCGAAGGAAGGAGTGCTTGAAGTCACGTTATTAGATTATCTGTTCATCTGTATCCTCCCGCCATTTCATTTGCTTTAATGTTTTATGCTTTAAGTCATGAAGTATGATACTTAAAGTATTATATCTTGAACATTTTGAGAAAAGTGCACCATATATCATAAGTTGCCTTTATTTTCTGTTCGGTTTCGAGAATACATACCGTACTGCACCGTATTATCAAAACATAAAAGTTACATTGCTGTAATACCTCCTTTAACATACAAAATGCATAACAAAAAGAGTAAAAAGGCATCCTGGAGTGTACAATTTCAGAAATATCCCAGCTAGGGGTGGCAAAAATATTTTCCAAGTAGATACCGCTTAAAACTCTTGTCAGATTTGTCGGATTCTAGATTTGTATATAGCAGTAGTAAAAAATAGTTACATGTTTTAAGTTTTGAAATAATTTTAGCTGATTGTATAAGTCAAAACACATCACCAAAGTTGTCTTCGAATGTGCAACTACTTCCTCAAAATTGTTATAAAAGAACAACAATATTGAGCCACTTTCGCGAAAACTGCACCATGGTTTTATGAATATTTGGTCATAAATGTATACGGCAATCGACAATATGACAGTCCCAATTGATCGTTGGAAGGACTACCCTATAAAAAACTGATTTGTTTTTAATCTTAAAGGGAAAGAAAGAAGATTATAATTCTGACGGATATTTCAGCCTGCATTTCTTTTCTTTTTCAAAGTGACAAATAAAAAACTCGTTCGTCAAACAAAACGAGTAAGTGAACAACGAGTGTCGTGTGGTGGCGAGTTTTATTGAAAAGAGAACCTGATTCAGTAACGTCCGTGGAAACGAGACTGCACGTTTCGGCGTTGCACTGGAGCCAGTCGCGGTTGCACAGGTCCAAGGGTGGAGGTGCACCAAAATTCAGTTCAAGGTTTTTACCTCTTTCGCTTTACTTGTTCATTTGATCATGTGTTTTGTTGCTGTATACATTCTACTACAAAGTATTGTGCTCCCCCAAAAATCAGTCGTCGAAATAGAATCAAACGACCGCAGACGATAGCTTGAGCGAAGTAGTTTTATTATTCGTCGCTCACGTGGGGGCAGAACTGACAACAAAGCACCTCAGTATGTGAATCGCTGATGCTTGTGTTAAAATTCCTGTTTCCAGCAACATATGAGATGGATTACAGTTTTGGGCCATTGAGACCCCGTTTTTGGACGTAAACAAGTATTCACTGCTCACGGAGGCGTATCATTTGTTGGGAGCAAACAAGGTTTGTTGAACGTCGCTTACTCAAGCATAGTCGTGTACAGTTTTGCAGATAGGATATCTCACGCGATTTGAAACAGTTCGGGGAAAATCAATACGGCTACAAATGCACTTCTCTGTAATAGGCAAACACGATGGTTATTTTTGCTGTGTCACCTTTCGGTTTGAGCGCATGCGTGATTTTTAAGGGTGGAATCGTAATTGGGAACAGTTTTGTTCGACGATATGTTGAATTACGATTCATGCTAAAGCTAATCAACCCAAAATTCCTGAAATACAAACCTGCTTCATCAACAACATGTAATGGATGTTAATTAGTTTTGTTGGCAAAGTCAACGCTTTCATCCCCTGTACATTACTTCAACATCACTCAGAATGAAATCCAAAAGCTATCATTAAACCTTCATCGGGGAAAGGAAATCGTACCTTTGAAGAGTGGACTAATCCTCCACATGGAAATAGCGCCCAGACTGCCGAACTGACCGAATGATATCTCCAGGAACAGCATTGGGAAACCCACTAACGCCAACATGATCAGATAGGGAAAGAGAAACGCCCCTGGAAAGCAACAAAACGATCATTTCTTTATCGGTTGGAACACATTCGTGAAGTTCATTACAATACCTCGGGTCGTTATTCTTGCTAGGCGTGCTACTTGCAAAGACAATAGATAACAAGCCAATGAAAAAGTGCAGGGAACCGTTAAATTCCATTAAATGTTACCAAAGCTTAAGCTGGATATATTGGCAAGGTCTGAGCTGGGCCGCACCGGGGTAAGGCACAACGTCCAACGGAAGCCTTTGTGGTTTCGAAACAATTCTGCATTTTTAAAAATCCGTTTCTGAACTTGGTGATAGAGACAGTATTACATTGCTGAACATTTTACTATTAAGTGGTGCATAAGTTCTTCAGACAAGTAAAGGTTGAGACAAAAAAAGCCACAGCTGACACAATCAGGGAAACATACTCAGGTTATACGGTATGTTAGAAAGTAATACTTTGTAGAATCAAACATTATGATGAGTAGCATTCATAACCGGAAATGTCAGCTAATGTAACCTAAACAAACTTAATCTTTGGGTTTGAGGAACATGATGTTATCTGAAGTTCTGCTACAAATTGATCTCCATTTCATTGATTTAGTAATAACGCACGATATTCATTTTACAGCTACGAGGTTTCAACATCAATTTCCTCAGCCGTGTTCATGTTCTGTTTCAAGGAACGCCAGAATTTACTGTTGTAAAGTGCATAGATGATTCTTGCTTGGTTGTTTGTTTTTTGTGTTATTCAATGAGTATTTCATACCTGCGTGAAGAATTTGAACCCAATAAATATGTGTGTTAATGTTGTACAATCAGGAGTTTGTCAGAGTGGTAGTGGAACCGTTTGTCCAAAAAGACCTGCCACTTACAGGCAAGACATAAGTGCTGATCCCAATCTAATTCAAATATGTTATATCGAGCAGATCCAGAAAGCAGATCATCTCATCGGAATTGATGGGATAGCTGTTACACATTAGAACTGCACAGGTCACACGAACCTGATTTATCTAACTGTAGTGTGTACCCTCCTGGTAAATAAATACTGTTCCCGAGAAACACTTTGCGACCTACAATAAATGGTCCACTTCAAGCTCTCCCTTTATAGCTTTATCAGACTCTTACAGCCAGACCAATCTAAAACTTCGCTAAACTAAATGACAGAGGCGAATGCAATTCACTCTGTTGTTTTTGCTATCGGATTACAGAGGTTGGCAATTAACACATGAACTAAAATTTCTGGCGAAGAAATGTTGAGAGTTATTAATTATCAATACTTCAACGTAGTACTTTTGACAGAAAAAAAATGTGAATTCGAGTTGGTTTAGCATGCATTGGGACAAGCAGCGGGAGGGGGAAAAGACTTCATGAGGGGCCATACCAGCGCGACCTTTTTGTCTAAAGCAACTTTGACAAATTCTCAGCAAAGCTAAGCATTGCGGTTTATGGACATAAGCGCCCCTGCAGAGGGTTCCTACTAGTTCATAATCACCAGTGGTCTTCCCGGCAATTACGAGACTTTAATGAGTTCCAGTTGTAGCAGCGAACTGCTGAATAAAATTCGCAATTTAAGATGGCATACTTTGACAATTCCAGAAACAGGTTGGCAATGAAAAGTGATTGGTCGATGTACCCATCAACGGAAAAGTACTAATTCAGAGGTTTGGAATGATCCAGATTTATTGGTACATAAACGTTTGTTTGTCCAATCTCCAAAGATGTACTAAGCACTTGACGGCAACTTTATGCAGATAAATGGATTTTTTTTAAATTTACTGCAGTTAATGACCATACCTCCTCCATTGCTGTAAGCGAGATGGGGAAATCGCCAGACATTACCAAGCCCAATCGCGTACCCCATGCTGGATAACACAAAGTCCAGCTTGCCTGACCATTTGCCTCGGCCTTCCGAGTCATCTTGAACGTTCTCTGCTTTTCCTTTGCTTGCCTCCGCGTCAGGTTGTTCCGGCTCCACCTTCTCACGGGGCTCGTGGCGATGCGCTTCCATCATGGGACCAACCTGGCTCGATTCCATTCAATACAATGTTACTGAAATGATTGTTAGAGAGCGGGCTACGAAAGACCCATGCACTTCCCGCATGAAAGCTAACAACAAACTGCCTCCTCCAATCAGTTCAGACGTCAAATATGTTTTTCTTGATTACGACACCTACTGCGTTAAACCTTTGAACTCTGTTGCGGTGTTCAAAGCGCAACTCGCTGGAGTCTTTAACCGCTCCACAATACCGTTACATTATGTAAAGTTGCACGTCATACTGGAACCACATAGCACGGTACGTACTAGACAGCATAAAGCAGTGGCGTGATCAGAACAGCGTCGTATTCAATTCCATCACAAGTCCCTTCACAAGTCCAGTCACAAGTCCCTTCAAAGGGCCAGTCATAAGTAACAGGGTGAAAAATGACAAAGGAATGCTTTCGTCATAGCTCATTTGAATAGCTTGTGAATTGTCTCAAGATTGAATGACTTGTGATGGACTTACAGGGAGTTGTGATGGACGCGAATACAACACTGGATCACACTGATGGCAGCATTATAGGGGATTGGGACAAACCCCCCAACCGCTTTTTGACCTGGGAAGGAACCCTTGGATCATGGCGGGGGGGGGTTCGAAAAAAAGGGAGAGCTGGGGCCAAAGCCAATACTTAAAATGTAAATTTTTACTTAAACCTTTAGGGGATCTATAGACACATATGAACGCTTCACATACACCACTCTGGGTTTTGTGGGCCCTTGCCGTATGCCCCGATGATGGATGGACATGGGGGCCTATGTGCTCACCAGAGAAGAAGTTACTGACACGAGACTGGAAATTTCAACCGGCAAGTTGAAATACAGGCTCCTTAGAAAAGTGAGTTGGTGCCAAGCGACATGGACCTATAAATGTCCATATAGCCTTGGGAACCGTAGCATCGGGATAGGCCCCTACATGTTACGCAGCACCGCTTCCACTTCAGCTTTGTCTCCGCTAGTGGTTGGTTCTAGATACGACAGGCCTCATCTCTGGTGACGAAGCCGACGAGGATGTTAGTACCCGCCGGGAACAGTCAACCGGGAGGGGAACGAAAAGAGGGAGAGAAAGGGCTAAGGCCTGTAAAAGTTATTTCAAGTAAATACCAGACATAATGTGTCCATGGTAAAAAAAAAAGTGTCCATGGTAAAAAAAAATAGTTTGAATTTTTTGAACAACAAAGGTCCTCCTCCTTCGCGCCACTTCACACCCCATGACTCCTCATTGAAACCAATTCCCTTTTTTGACTCAAATTACAAAGCAGCGTCCTAAACGACGCCCATCAGTTCACGCCTATCGTACATTGCTGAGTCCAACGCATTGGTATAATACACGGAGGTGTGGATTCTGAGAGTGACAAGAACCAACAATTCGATCCATGTGTTATGTTCTAAAAATTACTTCGACCACAAATTCAACAATCTGTCTATTCCGGGCACGAAGGACAATGCTCAGCTAAAAGAACTAAAAATAAAACTTGAAGCTAAAGATCTCGTCAAACCTGGTAATATCGAGAAATATCAATTCTGCGGACAGCTGGAACTCATCCTTGAAAAAATCAAGGAAGCCCTCATTAAGAAAGTTGATGTAGACCAAGCCATCGAATCTATTCAAGAAGCTGAAGAACTCATCCACGAGAGAAAAAAATTAAAGATCCCCGACAACATCAAGGCAGGCTGGCTGACTGTGTCACACTTCGAAAAAGATTCATCTTCGGAGCTCTTACCCGAGCAGCAGAAAAGAGTCAAGGCAGCAGAAGAATCTGCGTTAAAGGAGATCGAGAACCGAAAATGTCGAGAGTCCCCACATGAATTTGGCAAAGATACCAATACTTCTACCAAGGGTCCTGCTCATTAGTCTCTTTTTTCGAGGTAAAGCCCCCGTGATTCTTAATTTGTCATGTTGCACTGGCTCTTCTCATGCTTTCCATTAAATATAAAGAATAAACATTTGGTTTCCTCTTGCTCTATTTGTGTTACGTTGGGCATTAGAGTCAAACTGTTGAGCGCAGCGAAAGAGCGTGAATTTTTGTTATACTTTGTGGGATGAAAGGACGCTAGTAAACAAAATAGACTTTTCAAATCCATATACGTAGCTTGTTGCCATTGAAACAGCTCATATTGTGTTTTTGGCATTTCGGGCCGACTTAGGGCTCCAAAAACTGGTTTTTAGCTTCTATTCAAAAGTCCACCTGACCAAAATAAAAAAAATCACGAATCCACTTATATTAAAGTATCATCCTTGCCTCTGCTTGAGACAAAAAGTTATCGCTTCAAGTGTCATCCTTTTGCTCTTTTAAAGAGCTTGCAGTGAAGAATGTGTTTAGAACTTCCAAAATTGACCTTTTTACCCTAAGTTGCCCCTCAAAACGTCAACTTTCAAGGGGTCTCAGAACGTTTTCCTTTTGGTTGTGATTAGGGCCCAGATTGGTCTTTTCATACAGTGGTAGGGAAATCTTGGGCAATTGTATTCTGCCGTGACAATATTGCCTCAAATTGATGGTCATTTTTCATAAAACAGAAAATTGCATTTTGGGGGTTTCCACGGTTTGAATCAATAATACAAAAAGAAACGAGTGCATCGGCGACCAAAAGTCGCTATACTGAACAACCGCTATACCGAAGAAAATCCCTGTGGAATAACACCGTATTCGTTATTCCACCGGGGTAAAAATAGCAAATTAAAACAGAATACGGGGAGAAACCAACAGCTGAAAACCCAAAGCATACAAGTTAGCATATCAAATACGGGTTCACTGTTCAGATCCGTTTATCAAAATATGCATCTACGTGTATGTTCAGTCAATATCAAGTAAATATCATCGTAAAGTCGAGGAGCAGTGGCGTATCTAGAGGGGGCAGGGACCAACTCCCCCCCCCCACGGTATTTTTTTGTAATAGGCCTACTTTATAATTAAGAAAGTAATCGGTATATTTAGTTAGCAAATATTAGCACCAACATCCTAAGGAAACAACACCATGAAATGAATGCAAGGATGTCGTGACCCTGAGTAAGGCTTTTGATATTTTTTTCTCCCCAACATCATGTTTAACTAAGAAGGTTTCTTTTGTTCAACACCTCTTTCAATGAAAGACTGTATTTTTTTTGTTAAAGGGCAGTTGAGCCCGGCCAAACTGCATTCACGTTTGATCTTGCCCCCCCAAACACCAAAAGCTGGATGCGCATGTCGAGGGGGGATCGTGAAACACACCTTACTGAAGTAGTTAAAATAAATTCTGAATGAGGATAGTTTTTACTATATTACGTAAACAAGCAGTCAATATTTGTTTTATAACTCCCCTGCCACAGATTCTGCTTGATTTAAGCGATAACTAATTGATTCCATACGGTAAACTTCTCTTTAAATTCGAATGCGCAACCATTTTTCAAATACCTTTTCACAAAAACTTTGAGCCCGTGAGCGCTGTAGCGCTGGCATTTAAAATTATGCACGAAGCACAAAGCATTTTACACACAAACTATAGGTTGCAATATTCAGGGTTATGCATATGGTACTTTGCTTGCCACAAGTAAAAGTACACATGTACAGTGTAGTATTGTGATTGGTACGGGTCGAGTACTTTTGGTCATGCATAGCAAAATAGCAAGAACAGCGAATGCTATGTGAATGGACCCCGAGCTGGACCGAGAAAGGGCACGATTTTACTAGCAATGGAGGCTCCTTTGGTAGTTAAACTTCACTTCGCTAGTTCACGAACAGCTGTGATGCGTCGCGCACGAGAGGCTACCAACATAATGAATATCTCGACTATGATGACTCCTTTCAAACGATGAGGGCGCGCTATGCTTTTGCTCAAGGCAGATCACAGACATTAACGCATAGACCGCCAGATTTGCGCGTATAACCGTTATTTGGGCAAACACAACCTCGACTCCTTGGGCTGCGTGCGCATTCCTTCACTAGCCCCTGGTCGTGTAGAATACGGAAATGACGCTGACTGGCTATTCAGGATGACTAAAGTCCTAATTTAAATATCCGAAATAGTGGGATACGTATATCGCGCAGGGCATCGCGGGAACCAACATAGTGCGGCCAGATCGTACCCATAGGAATGAGGTTGGGGCAAACAATGGCCGAAGCGATAGATGACAGCGCGTCCAGTGCGTATTACGCGCAACGCATTTACATTACTTGTAAATGTTTACGTGTGCTTTCAAAATACGTCCGTTTTTTCCCTCCGGTATTGTTGTCTCTTCGTTTGAAGTGTTGCAACCGCATTGTTTTGAATCTACATGGGCCAGATTAAGTAAATAAAGGATTTTGGTATAATCGAGAAATGGCTTCATAGAATTTTAGGACTGGAATTCTTCAACTGTGCTTTAAATTCCCTGTACCGAGGGGTGAATTAGCCCATAGTTTTGATTTTAGTCGGGCGCCGCAGATAACGCAATGGTCATTTAGGCCGTGTCCGAAACAGGCTTCCAGCTAGGTCTAATGTCTACGCATCTCCGCACATTTTCAATGGAGGGAAGACCTAGACCTAGCTCTAGACAACAGATTCGGATGCAGCCCTAGTTTTGAATGCTGTCTAGCGGTCTATGCGTTTGTATATCTGTGAGGTGGATAGCCCTCACAAATCACGATACAAAAATACAAAATCGGAGGTCCCCACCCACATTTTTATATCTACCCAGAGGTATGTGCAATGAAATGAACATCCAATCCAATTTTCTAGATATCATTGCTCTAACGTACTTACAAATAAGTATAATAATGTGCTTGGCGATACCCGCCAAACATGTATGTATTCCCTTTTTAAATGACACTATCCAGATGGGAGCCGTTCATTCAATTAACTTGATGCAAGTCGTTTCACTTCCAACTCTGGTAAGACGGCAGGACGTCTTCATGTTTTTTGTATGTCAAACTTTAAAAACGTGTTCAGGACGCGTAACATTTGACTCATTTTGCTTTTGACACAACCGGAAAACGTACAAGAGTAGTATTCAGTTCAACGTCCATATGGGTAAAATCATTGTAAACAAAATGAACCTAACAGAACCCGCCCAATGTATTGAGAGTTCCGGTAATTGTTTTGCTCAATACCTATGTCTGTAAGCCCCACTATTTTGGTTCATGTTTTGACAGGAAATGAAACCAACCAAGTCTTGCTTTAGACAAAGTTACTCAATCAGAACGCCATGAGGTTTCCTTTCCCAGAAATGGTTTCTGAGCCAATAATTATGTTAACTTTGCAGTTGATGTTTTGCTTGTTACATGGAAAGCAGCAAGAAATTTGTCTGTTCAGCAGGTTCACAAAATTGGCAACGGAAGCTGTGTCAGTGTAGAGTAAAAATTTAAAGTGACATGTCGATCAACGTACATGCCTGAGAGCAGTTCTTTTCTAACTCAAACTGAAAGTAAAGACAGTTGTTTAATATCTAGCTTCATAACACAGTTTTACTCGCAAAATTTTCAAAGCACGACCAACTGAATCTTCAGAGTGTTAACGGTGGACTTATTGACGTCCCTGTCCCTATTATATAGGGACCGGTAGCTAGCTGCGGTTTAACGTATGCGATTAGACCTGTCAATTTGGATGTTGAATATCTACGTTTTTGCCAGGCCAATAGCAATCCTATGACATGTAATAGGCCTACGTTTCAGCGAGAAGGCGAACAAAACACAATCTTTGTCAAACCTCTGTTGATCACAGTGTGCTAATTTATTTTTCAGTGATTATCATCTAGAAATTATTTTACGGCAATTTATTTCAAATCAGTGGTTATTGTGTTAGAAGTCGGACTTACGTTGTTCTTCCCCAGTCGCCATCCCGTAAGCCTGTACGCACTACACGGTCCTTCCCTCGGCCCGGCAGCTCACACAGCCCTTATAAGGCGCCCTCATTTGATAGCCCTTATTGTACAACGTATGTCCTACGTCACCAGTCAGTAAGTGAACAGCTGGGGCCAATTTCATAGAGCTGCTCGAGTACAAAATTTGCGTGAAAACTTTGCTTGACAAATTGGGTTACCAGCCAAAACTCCATGTGATGTATATTGGTTTGGAATGGTATTCACCTGTCTTTTGGTTTTGGTTTTGACGATCACATAGATTTTGAGCTGGCAACCTTTGTTTTTAAGCAACGTTTTTTGTGTTTAAGCAAATTTGGAATTGGCTCTATGGAATTGGCCAACTCGTAGTAATAAATGGACTCAAGAGGGCGCAAAGCAAGTAACGTAGCGCGGTATTATGTATTCAAAGCATAAACGAAGACGTCACAGAGATCCCGACTTGAGTCAAGTCTATTATTGTGTTAAATTTTAGATGAATGAACCATTTATGGGGAAATTTTTTGGTAGAAGAAAAGCAAAATATGCCATCAGTTCCCGCTTCATTTGTGCATTAAGCAGGCATCATTTACATACATCCGGCAGGATTCTGCCGGATTCATTACCCGCTATCGGTCCCTACGATCGGAGGGCCTCTGTAACACATCTGGACAGTAGCGTAGCTACGGGGAGGGGCCTTTGGGGCATGTCCCCACCCCACACACACAAATTCCCGGTGCCTGCACAGGTGCCCCTCACTAAAAAAATGGATGAATGGATATTGAACAAGGCTAACATAAACTTGCCCCCAAAAACACACCACTGAAAGCTGGTCCCCCCCCCAAAGACTGGTGCCTCCTTTATGTCCCCCGTAAAACCCTAACTACGCCACAGCGTCTGGAGACTACGTACGGTACAGGAACCAGTCCAGGTTAACGGCAAATCTCTTACAGTGGAGAAGGCAACTTCAGCTTTGGTTGCCAGACCGCGTTGATTGATCTTCCGCTTGTCCCTTGACCTACCTTTATTGGTGTCCACCGAATACAATAAACTGTAGTTGTACTTGTCGAAAGGTAGTTCAGCCCCTCTACACGACCACGGACTTCAGAACGATTTGGTGCGTTAACCTCCACGATAAATAGAATGTGCAATCTCAGCAAAAATAAAATGGACTTCTTAACTCAGCCTGAGCCTCAATCAAATAAACCTCTTTGCTCAACCCAACGGGCCCTCATGTTTGTTCATGTGACATGCAATCCGTGGCTAAACTATCGGGAAGGAGGTTGGTGTCCTCTGATGCCCCTATTTGACATTTCGGAATTTAAACACCATACATACAAAATCTGCTGTTCCTTTACTGATTGCTGACCACTGTGATGCAGAATTTGATATGCACGTATGAACACTCGAGGAACTTCTCCGGGGGGCATGCATCCGAGAGGACGTTAAAGCATCATATCCTGCATTGCAGCGGTAGATGAATGTTTGGTTATCCGCTCCGAGCAGGAACAAAAGAGGGCTCGTTTTGAACAGAAATTGACAGTCATTTGGTACGCACTCACCGCATAGGTGCGCAAGTTTATGCGCGTTTGACGCGGAGCACTCTGAGGACGCACGACCAATTTAGTCTGGGGGCGTATTCGACACCCTATTCTCATGGGACTCATGAACAGTGTTCTTGGGTCGTTGATTACGAACGCCGAAGTGCAAAAGTAGTGCAGCTGCGCTGAAGGTCAAGATGTCAGTCGCCATTTTGACACCAAATGAAAAGATGGCATGACATTTACCATCTCAAATTAATATATCCATATTAAATGGTCAGGTAAATTCTCTCCAAGAGCCGTGAGTATTTGCCCTGGGTTTCATTTTCCTTATTGTGAGTGTTTTCTATTTTATATTACAAACCAACATTAAGTTACGGTATCCGCCATCTTTGTTCTTGATGTTCTCCATCCACTCCCCAGAAAGTGAGGAGTGAGAATCTTGTTTGCAAACAATGTTCGCGTGTTGGTTCTCCCCGTTCGAAACCCTGTTTTCGTGTTCGTCTAACACAAGAACTGGGTTTCGAATACGCCCTGGAATGTATGGTCTTCGCGTACACGCCGAACGCGTGCAAGAACCCGGATGGAAAATTAGTGCCATCTTTTTTTCTTTCGCCGGTGAGGGCGCACTTCAGCTCAAGGTGGACCACGGACATATAAATGCATAGACCGCCAGTCGTGCTCGTATAACCGTGATTTTGAAAAGTATATAGACCAAAATATAATATACATGTATAATCAGTTCTCTGAATGGGCCCCGAGCTGGACCAAGAGAGGGCGCAATTTTCCAAGCAAGCAGGTTCCTGAGGTAGTAACTGCGATGATCGCTGGTTCACGAAAGATCACGAAACGCAAGCATTACAGTCGCATCGCTACCAACAAATTGAACACTCCAGACCAGAACAGTTCTTTTCAACCGATGAGGGGGTGCTTCTGCTCCGGGCGGATTGTGTAATTGCTCATTCATTTAATCACATAATTCAGAGCACTGATTATATACTATATTTTAGCCTCTTTTCTGATCACAATGCTACATAGCCCTTTCATATTATTCTGAAAGGTATCTGGTTCGTAAGTGACTTCGTCACAAAGGTGGACGCGCCACGATTTGCAGGCTCCCGATGAACGATCGCTGAAGTTGCGCGTTAACTTCCGGTTCCATGTAGACTGTGATCAATGCATGTAACTCTATGTGCAGTGCATGTGCAGTGGGTGTGGTTTCACCTGAAGTGACGTCACACTTATGAACCGGATGGGCAAACAATGTGCGAAGTGATGGACTGCAGCGCGTTCATGCAGTGCGCATTACGCGCAATGCACTTACAATGCCGGTATTTTGTTTATTATGTACTCCCAAAAGACGTTCACTTTTTTGCTCTTCCGCACTGCATTCTCTTCTTTTCAAATGTTTCAATCTCATTGTTTTGAATTGCGAAGGGCCAGATTAAGTAAATAGAGGATTTTTTTCAATCCAAAATTGGCTTCATAGAATTTTATGACTGGAATTCTTCAACTGTGCTTAGATTCCCTATACCGAGGGGTGAACTTGCGCACAGTTTTGATTTTAGTCGGGCACCGCGCAGATCACGAAAAACCCCTGTAGTTTTGAATAGGATCTGGCGGTCTATTCGTTTGTACGTCTATGGGATAGAGTATGTAAAGATAATACATCTGCAGTACAATTATGAGTGTGAAAGACATATGCACGAGAACCAACTCGTGAACCAACGCGGGCGCGTACTCCAAAAAATTTGTTTGCACGACACTTCCTGGCTTAAAATGACGTCACACTTTGGTATTCTATACCTCTTTCGTAAATTTATTCTTTGTAATATTTTTAACACCTGAAGGTTTTGAATTTAGTCTCGCTCTGTTGCTGCACAGAAAGTTGTGACATGCTGTCTCCAAACTCTGCATATTTTATGTAGAGGAACTTAAACGAACTTCATGTAAATAGATTTGACGTAAAATTACTACACTGAATCGTACTGTATGCCAGCTCCCTGCTCCCACTACAGTTTACTGAGATTAATGGACCGGGATTAATGACATCACGGTGTTATATGTACAAGATAATGACTAACATGCATTAAATAGACCGGTCATGTGACCGTCCCGGGCAAATTGAACCAATTAAGACAAAGGTACATGTATAGAATTACTTAGTAATAGTATCCTCTGAAAAACAACAGGTGTCCTGCGTTCTACTATTCAAATCTCAAGTAGTTGAGCACGAGCCCCAATGCAACAACGATGACACACCATGTTGTTTCTGTTGCAATTCATATGTTACATGAATACTTGACTACAAAGCCGTAAAAGAGTGGAATAATGCTGCAATTAATGCTGCAGTAAATGACAACGTAGCAATGTTGCCACTACTAGGACAGGAGTATGACTTGGGTGGTTCATAAGCTGGGCATTCCTCCCCCTTCATGCAGCTCAGAATCTTGCTGGCTTCACGTACACCACTCCGAGTGGCCCCAATGATGTATCCGTTGAACATTGGGTCTGTGTGCTCACCAGCAAAGAAGACGTTACCGACACGAGACTGGATCTGTTCAAACCCCTCGGTGGAAACCTCAACCGGCCAGTTGGAGTAAGCGCCGTAGAAAAGCGGGTTGGTGTCCCAGTCAGTGACATAGATATGCGTAGCCTCGGGAACCCCAGCATTGGGATACATGTTGCGCATTACCGCTTCGACTTCAGCCTTTGTCTCCGCTAATGGCTGGTTCTGGATACGACGGGCCTCGTCTCCAGTAACGAAGCTAACAAGGATGTTAGGATCTGCAGGAAACGTCCCGGTTGAGTTCAGGTTTAAGAAGACTGGGAAATATCCCCGACGCTCGCTAGCGTGGAGAATCCACTCCTTGTTTTCCCAGAACTGAATGGGAAACTTCATAAAGATTTTTGCGAAGGATGCCATGATAAACTGGAAGAACTTTACAATCTTCCATTCTGGAAGGGCCGGTTGGAAGTCGATCACATCGTTCTGCAGGACCCCAAGACTTACCGTGACAAGGGCGTAATCACCTGTGTAAGTAGTCCCGTCAGAACACCTCACCTCCACTCCATTGCTAGATTTATCGACGATCGACACTACAGTTTTGTTCAAGCGAAGATGATTCTTATAAGGATCCATCATGAGCCAAGGAGTGATCTCCTCAAAGATGCGCTTGAAACCACCTTGATCGGTGACATACAGGGTATCACTATCAAGCACCAGAAGAGGTGTGGTCGATTTTAGAGAGGTTACAGAGGGAATATCGGACCACTCGAGATCAAATTCATAGAATTCGATAGCTTTGTGGATAGGTGTCGTGGGTTTCCACCCTGCCAGGCGGAGAGCAGCTCCGATAGACATATCGCGACGACACTGCTTATTCAACTCACTACCTATGTCAACTAACTTCTTTACAGCTTGCTCCATGTCCACCCAAATCAGGTCTGCACCTTCGCTGACATCATGCCCGCTCGCATTTCGGATGATAACTGAATCGTAGTCCGCTACATGATAAGCGATTGAGAGTCTTTTTACCGTGTCAATGATCTCTGTGTCTGGCGGCTGAGCCCAGTTAGCACCCGCCTCAACCTGCATTCCTGCAAAAGTAATGTCGTGGACTCGACCGCCGTAGGAATTAGCGGCTTCGATGATGATCAAATCGTTCATACTTTGGTCATGAAACTCTTTGGCGGCTTGCAAACCTGCAGCACCAGCTCCAATTATTAGCACCTTTGCATGATTGTCGTCGTAATCTTGAGCGAAGACCAATTTGACCGCCAAAAGACACAGTGAGATAAGAGTGAGTTTCGCCATTGTCGTGTATGTAACNGCAAAGTTCATCTCCCGAGAGTACATGTAATCTGAGCTCCGGTATAACCGAAACAAAGGCAAAGTGCAGTGCACGTAAGCCAAGCTTCATGACGTGTTTTGAATTCCTGTTGTGGCTGGTTCACCTGTGCTTGTATTCTGTTGTTACACATTGCAAGCGCGGGATGTTGCATTAGAGTATCAAGTAACCGGGTCGTTGTTTTTCTTACATGCCAGAATGTGTACACTATACCAACCCAAGAGCATGGTGTGGTCTACAACGAGCATGACATGATCCATGATCACACCCCCATTCATCATCTATTCACAACTGACTGAACTCACACACAAGTAACGTTTGGATGAGGCTCTCACTACCCCCCTCACCCCCCCCACACACAAATTACACATCGCAAATTTATAGAGAAAACTCTGAAATGCAACATATTGGTAAGGAGAACAGGGCATAAAAAATCTACAACTGAAGGAACCACAGAGTAGTTACGAAATCAAATACGAGTTCATTGGTCTGTTTATCCGTTGTGTTTGTCATACCGCTGTCTTAGATACTGTCTGTTTATTGGCCCAGAATGATCACATGACAGGGTGGTATATCCACACATATCACACTCACCCTGAGATATCTCTTTCTGCCGATAGAGCGTGCAACCGCACTCGTACGCATGCGAGATAGAAGAGCTTCGGGAAGTTCGAGAGCAAACATTTCCGCTCCTTTACACGTATGTTAACCAGTCCACTTGGTTTGTGCTTATGAGCTAAAATTCGGCGAAGTCGTGGTCACTCTCTGTAACTATAGCTTGTTAAAATGGTGACTCCAGTCAGCAAACGACTATATCAAAATCCATCTGCGGAGATCTTCCACATTGTGTAAAAGTTTGCTGAATTTATACCAGAGAAATATAATCAGGCTTCAGATTTCATTTTGTGATGTGTTTCTTGTTAATCATAAGTGACATTTGGGAGGAAATGGAGTGAAGCATGTCTGTGTACGTTACATTTCCAAACGTAAAAAAGGATATTTTAAACTCGAAAATTTGAATTGTTCTCCAGTTTTTCCACATATGCTCCATATCCTAATAATTGAAACAGTGTTTGAAAAAGGTTACCATGTTGTGTTTAAGCTACTGCGAATTGTCCTTTATTAGTTGAATCAATTTCGAGTTTTGGCTCTCTGTCAACCGGTGTTGTAGGTCTCGAGACCTAGTCTCGGTCTCGAGACCGTCTCGAGATCTTTTTTTTTCGCGATCTCGGTCTTTTCCCAGACATCAAGGTCTTGGATACAACACTGCCGTCGGCCATGATTTATGTGTGTACATGTGAACGTCCATGTACTCCATCAACTTACATAAACGTGTACTGTACATGCACTACTACGGATTGATTCTCGTTCAAAATGTTCAATTCGCAATAACTTGAAAAGTAGTATAATACTACCGATGTTTTTATCTTGTCTTAATACACACGGCACTGTATTTCGTTTGTTTGGATAAACTGGAGAAGTTGTTCTAAAATGGGAAAGACTGTGGACGTATTTTCTTTCAAACTTGATCGTATTTAATGTTTTTATATTATTTATTTTTTCAGAATTTGTTTCAAATTTTGTGCAACTGGGTCCATAATAATACGGTGATTTAATGTTTTTTAGTTATCTGGTTATCTCGGGGAACTTTGTTTGTATTTTGTTAGAAATAAATAAGGGCCTCCATCCGCGGAAAGAAGTGTTGGATTTACATCCAACGTCGCCTGCCTCGAAACCCACAGTAAATTGATCAAGTGCGCATGCGCTAACTCTAAATTAAGCGGTGCTAAAGGGTGCACCCGCGTATATAGGCCCGAAATATGTCCACCAAGCTCATTCATAACACTCATTCATNGTTCCATATTTTTGCAAAACTTTGATCGTAGCATTTTTTTTGGCTAAAGGGACTTTAAGTGTCTTGTTAACTGAGTATCTTGTTTCACGAATCTGTGTGAATGGCATAAACAGATTTGTCAAATACATAGGAGCCAATTTGTTTAGACATTTAAAAACAAGCAGTTATACTCGATTGACATACTGTTCAATTTCTGTTTAAATTTATTTATGTATTATTTTCTACTTCTTTTGAAACTTTGAATGATTTAATATCATTCTTATTATTTGTATTCTTCTTTTAGACAGTCATTGCAAGTTTTTTTCCGTTGCACTTGTATGAATATAATTCATCTCTTTCGGTTAGAATTTTGATGCGGCTTCTGTACAAAGGCACAGGGCACAGGTGTATCCTGTTACGCAGCGGCCAGCAGATACCTAAGCTGTGCTCATCTCCTAATCACAAACCGTTGATGTTAATGACGAACCTTTCTCTGTTCTTTTTAAAATAGCTGTCTAATTACGAACGCGAAGAAGTTACGTTCATGTTATATCGAACAACATGGTAATAGGCCTTCAGCTTGTCGAATTTATTGCAAAACTTCAAGTTAGCGTAACGAACAGCCCGACTTTCAAACCTTACTTGTACTTCATTCCCGCTTCGTGTCGTACTCATTATACAACAGATGTAAAGCCTAAAGGAAAACTGTTTCATGCCTGTATGTGCAAGCGTATCATTAAATGTTTGGAAGGGAGGCCTTCTTGCGAAATAAAGTTTATAGATTTTATAAATCAACTGCGTTAACATTAATTCCCTTTGATCAGATTGACGTACCCCCGTCAACACAGAGAGACTTTTATTGCGCCATGTTTGTAGTCTCAAACGTTGATTGGCAACGTAATAAAATGTATACAGTAAAATCCGTCTACTGTCCATTGACCCCATGAGTTCCCAGGTTAGTTTTTGTCACACCATGTCGATTCAAACAACCTAGCGATTGGTTTTAAATATGTCGAAGATTTGTCCGTTGCTTACAGTTTTGGTAAAAAATCCGTCAAAGTTTTTACTTACTTATATTGTGTCCAACATGGGCAGCACGACCGCAAATGCCGTGTAATCCGTTCCGCTTTATTCCTACGTTATTATTAAGTTCAATCTTGAATTTACGTACTGTAAATTTATCTCTGCCCTGCATGTAATTGTATTCTTATCGTATCTGTTATAGTACGTTTTTCTACTTTGGATGATATACGACCAACATCCCGTAAGGCCTTTTGTACGGTATCAAATCGTAGTAGACCTACAACAAAAAACTACACACACTTCTCCTAATAATGAATAAAATTTGTTTGTATGAATTACACTGCATATACGTAGCACGTGTATGTACAATACGTACACTTCGGGAAGTTCGAGAACAAACATTTCCGCTCCTTTACACGTATGTTCGCCAGTCCACTTGGTTTGTGCGTATGAGCTAAAATTCGGCAAAGTCGTGGTCACTCTCTGTAACTATAGCTTGTTAAAATGGTGACTCCAGCCAGCAAACGACTATATCAAAATCCATCTGCGGAGATCTTCCGCATTGTGTAAAAGTTTGCTGAATTTATACCATATAAATATAATCAGGTTTCAGATTTAATTTTGTGATGTGTTTCTTGTTTATCATAAGTGACATTTTGAGGAAATGGGGTGAAGCATCTCTGTGTACGTTACATTTCCAAACGTAAAAAAGGATATTTTAAACTCGAAAATTTGAATTGTTCTCCAGTTTTTCCACATATGCTCCATATCCTAATAATTGAAAGAGTGTTTGAAAAAGGTTACCATGTTGTGTTTGAGCTACTGCGATTTGTCCTTTATTAGTTGAATCAATTTCAAGCTTTGGTTCTCTGTCAACCAGTGCTGTAGGTCTCGAGACCTAGTCTCGGTATCGGTCTCGAGACCGTCTCAAGATCTTTTTTTTCGCGATCTCGATCTTTTCCCAGACATCAAGGTCTTGGATACAACACTGTCGTCGACCGGTCGGCCATGATTTATGTGTGCACATGTGAACGTTCATGTACCTGTACTCTATACATGTACTCCATCAACGTACGTAAACGTGTACTGTACACGCACTACTAAGGATTGATTCTCGTTCGAAATGCTCAATTTGCAATGACTTGAAAAGTAGTATAATACTACCGATGTTTTTATCTGGTCTTAATGCACACGACACTTTATTTCGTTTGTTTGGATAAACTGGAGAAGTTGTTCCAAAATGGGAAAGACTGTGGACGTATTTTATTTCAAACTTGATCGTATTTAATGTTTTTTATATTATTTATTTTTTTCAGAATTTGTTTCAAATTTTGTGCAACTGGGTCCATAATAATACGGTGATTTAATGTTTTGTGATCAATTTTTAGTTATCTGGTTATCTCGGTGAACTTTGATTGTATTTTGTTAGAAATAAATAAGGGCCTCCATCCGCGGAAAGAAGTGTTGGATTTACATCC